GTTATATCGACCCGTCTGGACTAGTAGTAATAAAGCAAATTTATAAATTACATGTTGATTTTGGTACACAATATTGTTCGTTCACAACCGATGCTGTTCATGACCGCAAGTCATGTATGTACATAATTATTTAGACGAACTGCCATTATTTTTTTTGGGGCCAAGCGCCGAAGTTCCTACGAGGTCCCCGCGCCTAGGGGGCGCGCGGGATATGTGGGACTGGTACCTAGGTAGGACCCTGCCTACTAACGACTCCCCTGCACTCTTATACACCCGACGTCCGATCTCCGTGCGGCGTCAGTACCCGGTCAGAGTAGGGGGGTTCCCGCGGTCAACACTCGCGGAGACGATTTGCCACCGAACTTAAAAATGAACTATGACTAAATTTCATGACAAGTACTTCGCTCGTTTTATTCGAAATTGGCATGATTTTGTTCAAGTTTTCTAGCTCATCGTTTTGACGGTTTACATAATATCCTGTTAAAGCATTTTTTTAAAGTCAAATAATAGTATTAAATGTAATTATCCATCAAAAAATACAATCATAGTCTAATTTTTTTGATTTTAAAGCCACAGGATTTTACTTGTTGAATATACCTAGTCAGGTCATAAATTCTGTCACATGTTTAATGTAAAATAATTGAAACAAGTTTATTCATTATGTAACCATTCATATACCAAAATGAACTTAACAAAACATAGATTCTTATGACACTAAAGTTTATTCAAAATGACCTCCGTGATTTTGAATACAGGCCTTCAATCTGCGCGGCCAGTCGTCTATCGCAGCACGAACGAGGTCCATGTCAATATCGGCGGCTGCCTTAATCAAGGATGTCTTGAGTGACTCCAAATTGGGATGAGGCTTTGAGCACGCCTTTTCCTCCAAGTGTTGCCATATCTTGTAATCTAACGGATTCAAATCTGGACTGGAGGAGGGCCAGTCTTCGTGCCGGATGAAGTCGATTTCACGCGCCGCCAGCCAGTCTTGTGTGCTCTTCGCTCTATGAGCTGGCGCCGAATCTTGTTGGAATACCCAGTGCCTGTTATTGAACATGGTATGAGAAACAGGTTCCACAAGGTTCGTCAGGACTGTATTTTGATACACAACTGCATTCGTTTTTACACCTTTCTCACAAAAATGTACCTCTGTTAAGCCCCAATAAGAAACTCCCAACCATACCATGAGCGAGGATGGAAAATGACCTCGTTGGACACGCGGAATACGGTTGCTCGCTTCTTCACTACTGTGTGCGTACACCTTATCATTTTGTTTGTTGTAGCTCTCTTCTACGGTAAAAATTTTTTCATCCGAAAAAAGAATTTCCCGATATTTTTTTCCCGCGTACCGCTTCAACAAAGCGCGGCATCTCTTCAGTCTCAGGTCCATTAGACGAGCATTCAAACGATGTCCTGTTTTTCTTCGATATGCCCGAAGCCCTAAGTCTTCATTTAACACCCTTTTCACCGTGGTTCTGCTTAACCCCATCTGAAGGGCCAACAGTTTCTGCTTACGTTTGGGATTTCTTTGAATTCGCGCCTTCACAGCTTTTATCACTGCTGGAGTCCTAACAGACCGAGGGCGACCACTTCTTGACCTGTCATCTACACTAGAGTCTTCATTGTATCGTTTGATGGTACGATAAACGAATCTTTTGGTTATATTCAAATTTTTCAGTATGTTAAAAATTTGAATTGGCGCGTAACCGCAACGATGCAACGCAATAACTGCAACACGGTCTTCTTTAAGCGTCCACTCCATATTTAAAAATGAGTAAAATTCTAAAAGTATACATTTTTATTTTCATGAACAATTCGAAATTCGAATTCAATAAACTTTTTTGTGGCCAGCATTCTAAAAGAAAAGTTTTTACTGTGTGACAATACTTATGACCTGACTAGTTATTATTATGTGCGCGCGACTTCGCCCGTGTGGTCTTGTAAAGTTTTTTTCCTCACCTAATTCTAGTGACCACAAGGGGTCATACTAAATTCTCCGAACGAGAATGTGAGCTCACAGGGCTCTAACCTGATGACGTTGCTTGCACTAGCCCCAAGCAAGATGAGTGCTTCGCCGAATCTACCACCGGATCGGAAACACGACCCACCGAGAAGATTCGGCAAGAAACTCAGTGGGCTGTGTCTGAGGGTTAATTTCCTCGCCGAACCATTCGTCTCAAGCGACGAGTGCGACGAGAACGGTGACCGGTGCTTGAGTTACCTAAAAGCACCCTTAGTTAGTGGATCGGGAGGATCCGAAATGAGATGTTGAATAGTCGATATGCAATTCTTATACTAATCCATGTAAAATAAACATAGCGAGTTTCAGAAAACGAATAAAGACATATTTCGAGGACGGTAGTAAGTGCACTTACAGTCTTTTAATAGCTTTATATTCAATGAAGATTTCGTGAATTTTATAAGAGCAAAGGTTGTGAAATGGAATAATTTAAATCTATCCGGTATGATATACCATGAGCGCACAGCTGCAGGCCTATATCATTTTATTAAAAAATTGTCTGTCTGGTTATTGATCAGAAGATGTGATGTACAACAAGTCAGATGAACTCATCTGTTCAGTTAGGCGAATAGCAAAAAAATTGGTTGGTCAGTTTTATTTCGATATTGAATTAATTTTGTGTTCAAATATTGACAAAGACCTGATCTATTATTGATAGAGGTTTCAGTAAAGCCTTTGCGGTGAGGAAAATCTGCTCGGGTCTGCAACGAACGAACCTAAATACATAATAATATCATTTTCGTAATTGTTTTACTTGACTTGAATACAGATAAGCTGTCAAAACGAACGAAGCCGAACGAACGAATTTTGTGTTTTTCCTTTAATCATTTCTATACAGTCACATTGCAAACACTAAAATGTAATCATTTAACCGTTGATATTTTTAATACATCAATGTATTTAACTGATTTCATTTCAAACAGGACCGGACAGTTAATCTTACAAAAAAGGAAAAAAACTTCCCAATTTATTGTACAATTTAACTTTTTTTTAATGCTTAGAAGGGTGGACGAGCTCTCAGCCCACCTGGTGTTAAGCGGTTACTGGAGCCCATAGACATCTACAACGTAAATGCGCCACCCATCTTGAGATATAAGTTCTCTAAGGTCTCAAATATAGTTACAACGGCTGCCCTACCCTTCAAACCGAAACGCATTACTGCTTCACGGCAGAAATAGGCAGGGTGTTGGCACCTACCCGCGCGGACTCACATGAGGTCCTACCACTAGGAGTGGGTGATATAAATCGTATATAGATTCAATATCTATATATCGCAGCAATATCGTTGAATCCGATATCGCCCCGCACGAAATCTATATATCGATATCAGCCGATACACGATATTGCTCGATGTGATGCGCATCGGCATCGTGGCATATCGTACCGATTCGTGAATCGAAATCTATATTTCGATATCAGCCGATACACGATATTGCTCGATATGCGCATCGGCATATCGTACCGATTCGTTAATATCAGCAATATTCGTTTGGTTCGTATCGAATCGGCCAGAGTGAGTGAGCGCACGATAGGGATATCATGTGATGAATGAAACAGAAACAGGCATTATCCATACAATTGTAAACCTTATATTTAAGTCCATATGTCTGTAGATTATTCTTAGCGTATCAGCAGGATACAATTAAGGAAAGAAGTTTCAACTTTCGACCCTAACTTGAATGCAGTATAGCCTATTTGCATCGTTGAATTTAATTTCACGCGCTTTGACCTTGAACTAGAATTTTTGGACAAGTGTTTATAAATACTTAAAAGTTTTTTGTGTTTGATTTTTAAAGTACACATTTTTCTATTTTTAGTTGAATCCAAATAATTGAGTTTATTTCTTGTGTTTGTATTAAACTTTTGAAATCTACACTCTTTTGGTATATTTTGTAATTTTAAATTAAGACACAAAATACTAAAAACTGAAAATAATGTAGCCAGTCCTAAGCCTGGTAAAAGCATGAAGGAAAGTTTTTTTGATATTTTTATTTTCATGTTCTTTTTATTACTTTAAGATCATATTATAAATTGATATCAGAAAACCAACCGTATAACGTTGACTTAAATCTATATCTACTACGATATTATATCAGCGTATCGTTTCAAATCTCAAATATCATGAATCGAGAAAATCTACTAGCATCCATCAATATATAGATTCAGAAAATATATAGATTCAATATCCGATATTGATCCTCGATATATAGATACGATTCGATACGCGGCAAAACCGATATTACCCACTCCTAGTGGTTACAGAAAATATATACAACCATCCTGATGAACCGTGAGGTCGAACTTTCAATTTTTTAGTAGTAATACCATAAAGCACCAGCTACTCCAATTTCATCCCATGCAGAAGAAGGCCGATCGGATTGTGGATAGATGTATTGTCATGGATCGCTAGGGACCTTTGGATCTACAAACGGGACGGTTTCTTACTTTTTATACTGTATGTTCAAGGGGAGTAGAATAAAATTTGTTAAATGATCTTTTTGAAATGACTCAGTCATGTCCTTTTAATTATCGCAACACCCGCCATCAGAGCAGAAGATGTCTTAACACCACTAAATAACATATTCACCAGGTTGCAGATGACAAGTAGCAGCGTTGTTATGTTTATATGCTGTAGTCCCGCTTTAGTCTAGATGTACCGTAAACCCGTCGTCTAATTTACAGCAATGAAAATATTGTGGTCGGTAAAATCTAAAGGAAAGCCACGTTCCACCCAAGTGCCCTTTACAAGTAACGTTTGCCGGTACAGTTTCCTTGTCGGCAGACGTTTTGTCTGAATATTTTATGTCCCTATCGATCATAACTTCAAAGTAAGAATATACACAAGTAGGCCGGTGTTGAACTCAGTTTTTTTGGAAACCACACCTAATACGGAGACACTTTTGGGATTTCTAATTAATAAAACATTTAAACATAATTTACATATTATTATCGTTCATGGACAAAATATAGACCTTGTGTGATTATTCAAATTATATGACTTAACACATTATCAGCACATATTATAGCTATTTACATTCCAATCACAGACCGGCAATAACCGAGAGATAACGATTAACCAGCCTTTTAAATTAAAAAATTTGATAGCTGATAGATGGATTGATCTCATGCTCTACCAAAACTACCGAACAATGACATCATGCTAATCTTTGTTTTTATGATTTAATAATTAAGTATTTTCCGAAAAGATCGTTCGAAATATTTTGTAAAGGATAACATTCAACACAAATTGCAGCAGTAATATATTCTGCACTGCGTTCATTCAATCAATTTCACGTCCGTCGTACAAGAATTTTAAAATGATTCACTTAACTATGAAATGAGGGTAGTTTCATGACTTATTAAAAAGACATGTTGGTATCAAAGCAAAAATAGATCGAGAATAAGAGAGGTATAGATAGAACAGAGGTTTCGTGATCGTAATTGAAGAGGTTCGTAGGCGTGCCGCACGCCACGGCAGCGCACTCAACCAGGAGACATCTTGTATGTATTTGACTCTAGTAATTTCCCCGTCTGTCCTTGTATATTTAAGCGGCGGCTTCGGAGCCGTTCTCATGCATATGTCATGAACAGTTGCCGTGCGACGGTTTGTTGACGGCGAAGCCGCGGGAACGGCCACGACAGCCCCCCTCCCGATATCGACCACCACCGACAATTATTACGTTCTACTTTCGATCTCATGGCTATCGGCACCACCCCCATGATAACTACCGCAGTGCCACCACGCACCTCGAAGGGATGAGGCGACAATTAAATACCATCTTTGAATTTTATCTGTTTCGCGTATCTTGAATGACGGACAACATAGGTAATTTACAAATACCAAACGGGTATAAAAAAAATTACATATTTCTTTTGTAACAAAGAACATGTAATAATAGGATTATGCTACATGAGTGAATACAACGTTTTACGATGCAAATTCAGTGCGTTGCATAAGCAATGTGATTGTTTGAACACTTGCTTTATATACATTTATGAGTGTAACGACAAATTGAATGCTATAGTGGAAAATTTACTGAAAAATAATTTTAGAATTTCATTTCGCTGGGAACTGTTAGGTACCTACGTAGCATAATATTTTCTTAAGTCAGTCATTATCTTTTTTAGGATCTACCCAGCTCTTCACTTCTTAAGCCCCAATAGAAATTTGCCGTACTGCTGATAGGCATTTTGAAAGCCTTTACGGGTAGGTACCAAACGTACTGCGTTTTCGTTATTGCTTTCAAAGACGGACAGACACTCGACTCATCTGAAGGTCACCGTCACGCCTGAATATCAGCAAAACCAGAAGCAGAGCCATAATGTTGGCTACTGATTTTATTTGCCTATTTCTGCAGTCAACCAATTAAGTGTTGCGCTTTGAAAGAACAGAACAGCATAACAGTTGTAGTGTGGTAGTTAATGTAACTTGGGCTTGGGTAAACACTTTTCATCCGGTGGGCGAATTATATATTATTATAGATAATCTATATTCTATATAAATATATAAAAATGAATTGCTGTTCGTTAGTCTCGCTAAAACTCGAGAACGGCTGGACCGATTTGGCTAATTTTGGTCTTGAATTATTTGTGAAAGTCCAGAGAAGGTTTAAAAGGTAGATAATTAAGAAAATGCTCGGAATTAAATAAAAACAACAATTTTGTTTTCCTTTGATGTGTCCCCCGTAGGACGGATTCGGATTCCTTTTGTTTGTTTTAAGTTTATTTTATACAAAAGTTTAGGTATTTTATTTATCGATTGAGGCACTACGAAGTCTGCCGGGTCAGCTAATATGTTATAGATAGATTATATTATTATATACCTAACAATGCAACATAATTATGTACAATTTGAAGTCGTCGTGGCCTAAAGGATAAGACGTCTGGTGAATACGAATCCCGCAGGCGGGATTATCAATTTTATTAATGAAATACGTACTTGACAAATGTTCACATTGACTACCGCGGTGAAGGAATAACATCATGTAATAAAAAATCAAACCCGGAAAATTATAATTTGCATTATTGCAACTGGTAGGGCCTGTTGTGAGTCCGAACGGGTATATACCACCACCCTACCTTCGTCTGCCGTGAAGCAGTAATGCGTTTCGATTTGAAGGGTGGGGCAGCCGTTGTAACTATACTGAGACCTTAGAACTCATATCTCAAGGTGGGTGGTAGTGGCATTTACGTTGTAGATGTCTATGGGTTCCGGTAACCACTTAACATTAGGCTGTGAGCTCGTCCACACAGCTACGCATAAAAAAAAATCTGATTTTTACTATAGCAATTTATGTACACGACGGAAACAATTTCTTGACAATTCTACATCCCATCAACAAACCCATCGCGGACCTAGTGTTACAAATATTACCTAATTTTATGTTTGACTTTGTGATGAATGGCTATCGCTTAGAGTGAGGAAAACGATCATTAATTAGGAGCTTAGCTTACAAGAAATGGCCTTGCAGCTTACGGAATAAGCACATGTTTTCGACTTTAATGGTTGCAATGTTTTTATAACCTATATTATTGAGGAGTTCAAGTAAATATGAAAATTTATTTGAAATCTATAGTAATATTTTTCAAAAACTAATTTTTCTACATTTCAGCCGACCCAAAAATCATATTCACAAAATCAATTACAAACACAATAAGAGTGTCTTACAACAAATTTTATTTAAATCAATTTAGTTATACAAGTTATAACTATTTAGTTAATTTAGTGAAAGATGTACTTTTAATTAGCTATTTCTTGTAAGCAAAGAAAGGAATTTTCCCCAAAAAAGTAACATTTGGTTTTAGATTTTATTAAATCTTCTTCATAATATATATTTAGATCATTAAAAAAAAACTACAATTAAGAATGACAGAACAAAAAGTAGCAGCACAACAATGGTTAATCTCTTTATTGATTTAATAATTATAAGATTATAATACTCTATTCGATGTTGGCTATATGTCAGAGATTTTGTCATTTTGAGTACCGTAACTTTTTTTTTTATTGCGTAGATGAATGGACAAGCTCACAGCCCACCTGTAGTTAAGTGGTTACTGGAGCCCATAGACATCTACAAAGTAAATGCGCCACGCACCTTGAGATATAAGTTCTAAGGTCTTAAGTATAGTTACAACGGCTGCCCCACCCTTCAAACCGAAACGCATTACTGCTTTACGGCAGAAATAGGCGGGGAGGTGGTACCTATCCGTGCGGACTCACAAGAGGTCCTACCACCAGTAATTACGCAAATTATAATTTTGCGGGTTTGATTTTTATTACACGATGTTATTCCTTCACCGTGGAAGTCAATCGTGAACATTTGTTAAGTACGTATTTCATTAGAAAAATTGGTACCCGCCTGCGGGATTCGAACACCGGTACATCGCTACATACGAATGCACCGGACGACTTATCCTTTAGGCCACGACGACTTCACTAACCAAACATTCGAATAATAGCTAGCCAAATTGAATATAAATGGCAACTTTTTCATTTATCTTGATGTTACTGATAAATTAAGTCAAAGTATTTAAGTTATTGTAATGTCATCAATCCTTGGGCATGTGCTAATTTTAAAATTAATCAGATGTCTTGAATTTGGTAAAAAATATTTTAAGCAACACCATTACATCAATAGATAAATATGAGCAGCAAGCAGATATTGATTTAAAATACCAAATGTTTTATAGTATGACACCTTTTATACCTGATAAACATCATGTAAGCTCAATCCATACCATTTCTATGCTTATACATAAAATACGCTTTTTTAAAGGGGAAACAATCATTATTAAGTAATTATGGTCCCAACTATTATTCCCAAACTGCTTATATCTGCTGTTAACCTCTCACATGAGTTCCAAGACAGGTGTCTAGAGATAAATTGTTAGAATACTTAAAAGCCTCTGATAAGGTTGTCTCAAACTAGACCCAGGCAAACCATGAACTATATCTGTTAGATAAAAAGCTTCACAGTATAACTTGATATTATGTAATTACAGAATGTTCCTCAAACAATTGCCATAATATATTTTATTACATCATCATTACATCTAAATGCTGATTTGCTGAAACTCAAGATTTTCTTCTTTTCATTAATAATAATTATAACGCTATGATTTTGAGAAAACCTAAATCTCAACAATTTCTGGGTCATTTGAAATTCCAAGCATTCCATTTGATTTCTTACTTTTGATAACGGAGCAAAGCTATTTAGAACTGAAGGCAAATAAATTTCATTATAAGTTGTGTAAATAAATTTTGATTTTGTTATGTTTAGATAGAAGTTTCAAACAATAACTTTACCATTGTAGGCAAACAAGCTACAAGCCCACTTCTTAGGAAGTGGGTACCTTCCTGCGTGTACCTCAGAAACCCCCGGGCATTATCAAGATCTTTAAAAATAATAACAATCATAAAATTTATTGTTTTCACTACTATCAGTCTATCAGTATATCAATCTAAGCAATAAAAAAAAATCAACGGTATTTCCACCAGTACCATGTACTTAGACTTAAATATAATACGGTACTTTGATTTGGAAAAAATCATCTGTAATCCTGTTCTATTAAGTAAAAAGATCACAGAAAATAGCCTTAGATTTTTGGTAAGACTAATATTTTGAAGCTGCTTCTATTAAGGATTTTTTTCTTGAAAAATAAAAGAAGGTTTTCACGTCAGAGCTGGTATTACATGTAAGCTAAACTTTATAAGCACTTAAAGCAGCAGTTACAGATTGTATTAATGATTATATTTGGATACTATTCTGATAGCTGGTGATGTGATGGTTAAAAGTAAATGATGTGATGTATATCAACAAATCAAAGCTATTGACAGTGCTAATGTCTATCTTCTGTAACCAGTTCAATGGATTGTAGTGATAGTAGCACTGAGCCTGAGATTAAAACAGTCAAGACTTGTCCAGAGCTTTGTATAACATAAAATCTTCAAAAAATTACTATAAATATGTATATGGCAAGTATTAATGTCAGGTAATTTGAGTCATGTTAGCATAGATTTATGTTTGACACTACACATGTGTGTTAGAGGTCATAAATTAAGCTTAGATAGCTAAGTAGCATAATAGAACTGTCAATAAACATTAAAAGCAAATTGCTTTTATAAAGGTAGAATCATTGAAATATACAAAACCAAGAACTAATCAATCCTTGGTATTATATCCGATTAAACAAAGAAAAAACTAATATCCTCTTGAGAGTATGGATATTCCATCAATGGGTAATCAGTGTTTATTTAAATTCTTCGCGTATATAGACTTTATACATACATAACCTAACCTGGAAAAGAATTACTTTGCGTTTTAACTATTCTCGTTAAATCATTATTATTCGACATTCATAATTTACCACAATTTGTATTGTAAATCAACCAATGAAGTAGTACATTATCGTTATCTTTTATAATTTCTTGACGTACGTGAAGTCCTCGTGTACATTCATATAATTATTATATACTTCAATCATTTGAAGATCAAAATGTGGAGAAATTATTGCTATCATAAGTAATCCGTATTTTAGGACTAACTATTAAACAACGCCATGCACATAGACGCCGGTCACAAAATAATCAATAACAATTCACATGACGTGAATTCTATACATAGAATATGACGATGACATTTTAACTTACCTTTATTGATCGTTTGAAAGACACTAAAGCACTAAAGCACAAACAATATACGTTCAGATACAAAAATCTAGTTAAAAGTAAATTAGATCTCAATATTAAAACGCTAAAAATGGCGGCAACGATTGCAAAATGCAAATGCCATCAAATTGAAATAAATTGCAACAATTTTGTAGTTTTGTGATAATTTGGTAGCTTTTTCTGATGTTGTCAACAAAAATTGATGTTTCTACCTTAAAACACGTTCTAACCCCAAACTATCAGGATGTACTTGTCAATTTTTTCTTGAATTGAAAACTTATGGCACTTGTTATATTTGAAACTCAGTGAAAGAAGATTAACAAGAATGGAATAGGTATAAGTTTAAATTAAACTTAACATGCGCGAGATAAAATATTTTCGAAGTTTTTTTTACATCTACGACTAGTGAACAAAACATTTTTTTTAGTATGAATTCACTAGCGATTTAAAGTGTTCCGTAGAAAAGTCTTCCAGTTACAGGGTTATTTTGGTCACGAAATAGGCTATAATAGGCTTCCGCCTACTAGATGGAGAGAATCGGAAGTATACAGTCCAAAACCCCCTATAACTCAATCCTATCCTCTCCTTTTCTCATTCGAGGCAGGTTTCCTTTAAACCCCCCACCAACCCAACCCCACCGGATGCTGTACCACTGAATCTTTCAGTCAGCAGGCTATGCGAAACCGTCTAGACGGCGCCGCTAACCTGGAGCCAACATGGGTCGGGAAGTGAGATCATTTATCATCCGGATGCTCTTATAAAAGACGAGTGTACAGCTGGTTACATATCTTCTTGGATATATGTAGAGCAATCAACGGCGCCAGCCCTGGGTAGAAGTAGCGTGTACCAAGGGGTATCAAAGGGTGCTACCAAACTTAAGCTGAATCATATGTAGTGACATGTTTTAGATTTCTTAAGAGCTGTTGGTTGTATACAAATGCTAAATACGGAATATAGGGGAGACCGGGGCAAGATGAGATAGCTAAAACAAAACTCGCTGTACAAAGACAATCATATTCTTTAATTAAATTCTTTAAGAAAAAAAGTAACACTTATACATTTGTCTTAAAATTAATTATTTTATCATGCAAAATCACAGATTTTTTTTGACAAATAATGATTAACAATAATGAGACGAATTCCCCGTCTTACCCCATCTATAGGGCTATGCTACGGGGCAAAAGGAGTACGTATTTTAATCGGGCAGACAGCGTTCACAAATGTATACCTCGTCGTCTTCTTCATCTACTCCGGCACAGGAATCGTGTGCCCAACCATGGAAAATACTGCAGATAGCCCAACCCTCAGTTGACTCTTAATATAAGTAACCACAATAGATGCAGGCCCAGTCACCGTCCTCCTCTTAAGATGAACTATATTCCGATTCGATTTCTTTGGCGAGTCTTTTAGCTTGACGCTTGTTTTCAGTCCTTTCTATCTTCTTATTTCCAACTTTATGTATTCGTTTTTATCTTTTTTAGTCTTCTGTCCATCAGTCTTCATCCGCTTCCGTTCATCCAAAAGTTCAGCTCGCATCTGCTTCCGAGGGTATATTGTACATGGGTGGGACATACGTTCCATGGCCAAGCTATGCATAGCTCTGGCTGCTGATGTCGGTTCTGGGCCAATCTTCTTCTGCCATGCCAGTTTCTTCATTAAGTGGGCTATCTATATGATTTCGACGAGCGAACTGATAAGCTATTACACGAAGTTAGTTTCCTGTTAACCGTACTTCCATAGATTTCACACATTGCGCCAACTCATCTTCTTGTTTTTCTGTAAAAACAGTTTTGAATCGTCACAAATGCTTTTTCCCATACTTAGTCGTTACCGAAATCAGTGATGTCATCCACAGTATCACGAGCTTTTCTTACACGGCGACGGAACATCATATGTAGCTGAGGCTCGAGGAAGCCCCATCCTGTTATTAAGAACCCATAAGACCCAGAACTTCAGGGTCCCATTTGCCACGATCTGTTTTTCGTTTATAGTTCCGAATCATTGTATCTGACAAAAAAACTTTATGAGAAAAGCAATAATATATCTTGCTAATGTAGAAGTTACAACAATATGTTCTTATACTTTTTTATATCACTAAGTCGGCAAAGAAGCTTACTGTTCGGCTGATAGAAAGCGGTTACCGTAGCCTATGGACGCTTGCAAAACCAGGTTGCAATGCTATCGATAGGTAAGTAGGTACACAAAAGGTATTATTTAAACCACAAGGAAGGGGCAAAACGGGATAGTATTCCGTTATGCCCCGATCATTGTGCCCCGACCCACATGTATTCAAATTAGTTGAAGCAATTCTATTGCGCATTGCTATTACCAGCGCAAAAATCTAATCTGAATTTAAAGTGTTATAGTACTACAGCACGCTGAGGATTAAAACATTATATTCATTCAAGTACTTACATGTCTGCACATCAGTTTCTTAACCAAAAACCGGATAAAAACACTTGCAAAATGAGTTTTTTTCACAACGCAAAAACGAGATCCAACACGTTCGCTCTGCTCGGACGCACTTGCGCAGTCTGAATTTCGTGCAAATGGCGCCGTTACCGGTCTGAACACGATTACCATTCATGGACACAAGCTTACTTCCCGTCCTGCCCCGAACTTCATCTTGCCCCGGTCTCCCCTACTTCAAGCGAATACTTCCCTTAACATACAATAGCTGACAATGGCGCCATCGAATAGTTTTTTTAATACTCGTAGTTAGGAGGCCTTTCCAGTTTCAGCAAAACAGGACGAGCATGGGCTTAGCCAGGAGGGATGGAATTTGCGAACAGCTACCTGAGCGTCTATAAAGGAGACCTAACAACTCAAGAGCAGCTGCTTCACGAGTGAATCTACTGCCGAATCGGAATCGCGACCCGCTGAGAAGATCCGGCGAGAAACTCAATAGGCTGATGTGTGGATTGTATTGCACGTCGAACTCTTTGCCGAGTTTTATATATACATACGAGTGATGACGGAAACTACCGCGTAGGTCATGTAGGTCATGATTTTATGTACCTTGAGTACCTGATACCTAAAAATTGGCCGTCTAAGCAAGATACCAGGTAGGCATCCGTTCTTAGTACATACTAACACTACGTAAAAATTGATTTGCAATTGGAATTGTAATTGAAGAAGTAAGAAACACTGGCTAAAAATTGCTTGTTTCAAAAAAACAAAAAACCTAAAGTAGAATTTAGCACAAGAAACGTTTAATTAAAATCATATTTACCTTATAGTCTCAATTCGAATGTTTGCTACTGTAATTCTGTTTCATTTTTCTTATATTATAATTATAACCATCGTTGCCTAAAAGGCTTATTACATTTGGCTGAATTTAGTCTACTGAATTCAGAAGCAAATTTAGAAGCTTCTGATTATACTGTTCTAAATTCAGTTACTGAATCAATTGTCAGTTTAAGCGCGACGAAGTAAGATGTGTCGTGTGCGTAAGAGGATGGCCCCAGTATTGTCTAGACAACAACAAAATTTTTGTTTTTGTTTTTTGTTTCAATTTCTCAAAATAAAAAAATAAAAACAAGAATATCGGTGAAGAAATATTTATTGCTGTGCGGAATGTTAGCAAATATGAACAATATGAGTGATTTAGAACCAGCAGACTTCAAAAATTAACTATAAATGGATCCGATCTCGTTTGACATAATATTAAACCTTGTGACACCACTTATTCAAAAGCAGGATACTATCCTACGATAATCTATTATATAACTATTAAATAACTATTACATATCTAATCCTACGATAGTATAAGTCCAAAAGAAAGATTGATTGTAACATTAAGATTTCTTGCAACAGGAAATTCGTATCAAAATTTAAAATTTTCTTCTTCAATATCCCAACCCCTGATGACAAAAGCTATCCCTGAAACATGTCGGGCTATTTATAAATGTCTAGCACATTAAATAAAGGCGACTGAAATTAATACTTTTTATTCGGAAGCAAAAAACAAACTAAAACGTCCTTACGCACGGAGAGTAATGGGACGACTGAATGAAACCATTCAGTAACTAAATGCGATTACACCTTCCTAAATGCGTTTCTAATTAGGCTTCTAAATGATTCAGTCGGTCAGAAACCATCCTTGCGACTAAATTCAGTCGTCTGAATTCAGCCAAGTGTAATAAGCCTATAAAGGATAAGATGGTGCATTCGTATCGAGCAATGTACCTGTACCAGTGTATGATCCCGGAGGCTGATACCATTTTTTAAATTTAAGATGTACATATCATATGTTCACGAATTACTGTGGAAGTTAGGGATGAAATAATAGCGTTGTGTAAAAAAACCACCACTGCAAAAAATTTGCATATTTACTGATGGCAGGGAGTTTTGTGAGCCCACACCTATAGATACCACCTCACCTATTACCGTGAAGGAGTAATGTGTTTCGATTTGAGGCGTGGAGCAGTGGTTGTTCATTTGATGTGAGAAGTGGTACGTCTCATTTTTTGCAGGGCGATTAGTAATCCTTATGGATGCTTCTAAATACAAAAGTTTTTGAATATTTCACGTACTAAATTCCATGCAGAAGCTTTTACATTTTGATAGGACATGATTTCGATCTTTTACAATTGTCTTACAATGTGTTCCTTGTGTGAACTAGAATTTCTTTGCCTGTCGAATAGATGAACCAAAACAAAATTGACAACTGTCAAACAACTCACTGACAGCGTCCAAAGAGTAAAGAAATTGACAGAAGTATAGGTAGATAATAATTTATAATTATTTAGAACAGGCGGAAAGCAATAACAGACGTAAACTGATAAAATTTAAAAAAAATTACAAAAAGTAGTTGATATTGAATGTAGATATTCTCCTACTAATATAAAATTAATATATTTTTGTTTTTGTTCAAAGTGAATTGATGTACTCCTTGAATAGTGTGATAAGTCAAGTGTTTACAGTGTAAATCTTAAAGTAATGAAAAAATGAATAATAGTTCGGATTACATATACTGGTCCGAGCCGCATTGCTCGAAGGATGCTCTTACCGATACATATGGGTGGTTCATGCAAATTATTTTGGCAGTTTTAGCATTTACCTGTTTAATAGGTAGGTTTTAGAACATCATTCACCTGTAATATTTCAAGGTTCCAAACAAACTTTCTAACAAATTATTGTCAACATTAGACATACAAAATTCCCAATACTTTGATCTGTATGAAAAACTAGCTAGCATTAATATACTTAAATATTTAGAATAACAAAATTAAAATGAAACACTTAATCATTATTTTTTCAGGTAAGAGATTTTGTGAACCACGTTTCGCCAGAAGGCCATGGCTGATATGGTTTTACGACACATCAAAACAAGGCTTAGGAGCTCTTATAATTCATGCAGCAAATGTTTGGCTCTCACCACATCTTACCGGAAACCCATGCACATGGTATATATCCATTTCTATTCTGATTGTATTATTAGTTATATATGCATTAATTATATACATAATTGAAAAAATATATATTTAAAGTACAATTACATTTAATATGTTCTATCAAACTGTAAACACTTGTTATAAGTTTATTAATAGAATTCTATGCAATTCAAACTGTTTTATTTTCAGGTACATTGTAAACTTTATGTTGGATTCAACTTTAGGATTATTGATAATATGGGCGGGAATCAGATTAGCTCAGTACTGTGCAAGAATTTATGACATACCATTGATAAATTTTGGTGAATATGGTAAGATACCTAATTTATATTAACTGAAGTTTTATAAAAAATAAGTTTCATTTGGTCACTACCATGATATTATTTGCATTTCAATCTCAATCCATCTTTATAAGATCTGACTCCTGTGTGTGTAGTTTTTACAAAAAATATGTATGTTTCGTTTGGGAATACGGTATATCTGTTACTTTTATGATATATCAACTGAGATATATCTGTAAACCCTTTTTTGAAGGTCAACATTTATAATGTTAAATTTACCATCTAAATATTTTCCCTTAGATTAGATAGTTAACATTCAAGATTTAATGGACTATGTAGCCAGAATGTGGTAGCCTACGAATAATATAACTATTATTATTCATAGATGGTAGCAATAACACTGTCTATTACTTATTGGATAATTTTAGTGCCATTATTTTTTTTAAACAGCTATCTGAGCTCACAGATATAAAATTTAAAATATAGCTGTCCCCCTTAAAAGATCAGTGAGTAGGGTGGTTTAGCTTATATGTGCTAAAGTATAATAAACAGGCCATTCCTTGTTAATCGAAGTAGCTAAATTATGCTTATGTTGCATAGAATCTATAGGGGAAGGTATTGAAACAATAAACAGATAGATGAATAAAGAAGTAAAATATCTTCAGAGGCCAGTGTCAAATGTATATGATTAAATAAATATAACTTTTATTTCCATTGTAAATATGTTTACACAGTAATTCCTGCAAACTGCATACAAAACAGTCGCGCTCCTATATAAACCATCTGTGTAAACTTTATCATTGAATAAGTATTGCAATTATAAAGATCATTGCTTGTCCTGTTTTACATTTAGCAGTACTTCATATAGTGTACAAGTAATGGATATGTTTATATCAATTGCCTCTGAACCACAAGTCTTTATATGGCTTCCTTTAACTCGAAGGCTTATGGATGCATTTCAATGTTGATTGAGGATGTTATTCTCATTTCTATAAGTGGATTACTAGTGTAAACTGTATGATTATTATTTTACGAAATACACTTGCAGCTTTCCATGATGTAAGTGATTAAAAAAAAATTATTTTGGTTTTGTCAAGTTTTTCCTTAATTCCATTGAGTATGGAACTTATATTAGTTATTTAATGTGATTACTAATGCATTTCTTCTATCATTTATCCTATATTGTTGGTGTCTAATAAATGAGATATTGACAAATAAACACAAACCGAGAAAGCCAAATATTAAAAAAAAAAGGTATGAAATGCTAATTCTGTGTTAGATGATTTAGGATTACTAACTATGTATGTGCGCATACATATTGTTTGTAACCAGAGACAATACTGAGACCCCAATTTTTAGAGCAATCACTAATTTTGAGGTATCCATATTCCATAGCCTAAAAGAGGCAAAATGTGATTCTGTTCAAGCTTGATAATTTGGAATATATTTTTTTTAATATTTTTAACCTGTGTAATAATGTTCAGTATATCATGACTATATCAGCTTACATGGTTTTGGGCCAACGTCGTACCTATATCTGTTATGACGCCATCGGGCATATCTATTTGAAGGTCCATCTATATCTATATCTATACTAATATATAAATCTACAGTGGTTTTTACGGATGTTCCGTTATAACTACTGAACCATGCATCCGATTGACTTGAAACTTGGTATCCATGTAGAAAATACACATACTTAATGGATAGGCTAATTAATATCTAATAGGTTAAAATTTATATGAGTGTTGGTCTCCTTAATAATAATGACTATAAATAATAATGTTAATTTTAAATGCCCAGCGAAGTGGGCGAGTACGGCTAGTAATTTATATAGGTATTACAATTCGTATCCACAGTTTATTTGTTTGAATCGAGATAGTCAGAGCTGCACAAGTATTTGCCATTGGAAACAGAGAGAAGCCTATCTCCAGGAGAGGAGAGGCCTATCTCCAGCAGTGGACTGCTATAGATTGATGATGATGATGATTGGAACACACTCGAATAACCCAATATTTGCAGGTAAACCTCCAATGTGCTCCGCGTGGATATGCCAGTGTATATTATACGCGGCTCTAGCAACATTTGCCAAGTCTGTCCTGGCGCTGGTGTTGCGCCTCCCGCCTGTGGTAGCGGTGCTGTCCACGTTGAGACTGTCTCCGGTGTCCGATCCGCGCCTGGAGCTAGCTGTCGTTATGCTTATAATACCATTCTTTGTTAATGTGAGTATAATCGTGTTGTTTATCATTAACGTATATATTGACAAGTGAATCATGATCATCGATTCATTAGTGTCGAGTTCATAACGTCCGTTCCACATCTTAGCTTCAAACATGATAAAGTTCTACGCAATTAAACCTACTTTTACATTGTTTCCGTTTTTATATATATTATTTCCAATGTTTTGAGTACTTTACATATTTTTGATCGTGATCACGTGACGAAACCGTAAAAGAAGTTTTAAATTAAATTCACAAATCATTGTTAAGCATTTTGATCGGTTAGGAGGTAAATAAGGGAAATAGCGAACACATAGTCGTTTTCATTAAAATTAGTCATAAGTATCACAAGAGCTTAAGGTTTGTGCTAGACAGCGGCTTGACTGTGCCCCTGGCATTGCTGATGTCTATGAGCGACGGTAACCACTTATCATCAATTGGGCCGTATGCTCGTCTGCATAGAAAGGAAATAAATAAAATATAAACTCTGCGTAATTTCATATTCGATAAAGCATTATTTCGTGCTTGAGTGATTTTTTTCCCTACCTATGCTGATAGCCTTGAGAGGCTATTTCGTGAGCTCACGAGGCTCAAACCGGAGAGCTGCTAACACTGACCCTAGCAAGAGCAGTGCTTCGCAGAATCTACCACCGGATCGGAAACGCGACCCACTGAGAAGATCCGGTGAGAAACTCAGTGGGCTGTGTTCATTCGCTCGTCGAGCCCTTCGTCGCAAGCGACGGGTTCGACGAGGACGGTGACCGGGGAATGACGAACATACGTTCATAATATGTATTATAATTAACTATACTCAAAGATTTATTCTTCATTTTACACACATTGAGTTAAATTAGTTATTATGTAAATTGTACAAATCTTATCGCTAACAACGATATCTTCCGGCTAAACAATGTGGCAAAAAATATAATACTGTGAATTGTGTATTCAATGATAGTGACTGTAGTATAAAATCTTTCCTCACAACCCACCTGGTGTTAAGTGGTTACTGGAGCCCATAGACATCTACAACGTAAATGCGCCACCCACCTTGAGATATAAGTTCTTAGGTCTCAGTATAGTTACAACGGCTACCCCACCCTTGAAACCGAAACGCATTACTGCTTCACGGCAGAAATAGGCGGGGTGGTGGTATCTACCCGTGCGGACTCACAAGAAGTCCTGTTACCAGTAAATAGTTAAATGTATACTATATCTTGTTTCGGTATTATTCTTTACACTTAGATGTAATAATGAAAACAAGGAATCATAGCCGATGTAAGATGTGCTCACATTTCAAGTGTATATTCCAACTGTACCTACTGATTGTGTTAAAAATCAAATAGTCTTTACACATATTACAGTCTAAGATTGCTGTTACGTAATTATTATATTAATCTTACAATGCGGGCAAATGATTAAATTATTATCTTTCGAGTTGTTTCCTATGAAAACGGGTTTCTCTTGATCTCGGTGAATTTAGAATAACCTCTCGAGGTTTCTAGAAGAGGTAGGAAAAAAAAAGATTCACTAGTATAATAATTAATTAATTAATAAAAACGGGGGATAAATCCCACATGCCCCCAAACATAAGGTACCACTCTGTACTGTGGAAGTTTGAGTTTTTTTTGTCTTAGTTACCAGGTCATAAAATCTTGAAAAAAAAATGTTTTTTTTATTGCTTCAATGGGTTAAGGAACTCACGGCCCAGTTAGTGTTAAGTAGTTAACGGAGCCATAGGCATTAATCAACAAGATAAATGCCGCCACCCACATTGAGACATTAGTTCTAATTCCCAGTTTTACGGTACAACGGCTACCCATCATAATATAAACCCAAAACGCATTACTGCTTAACGGTAGAGTGGTGATACCTACATTAAATAAAATATCCTTAAATACGTTTAAATATGTGCTTAAATATTACTATATTCGTCGAATCAAACCTAAGTTTATATTAAATGATAAAACTAAATAATTATCAAATCAACCGAGATCGCGCGGTCGTGGCCAACAGGACGAGTAGATTATAGGAGTAGGTTAAACCAAATGACCTCAGTGTCGGACATATGAAATGCCTTTAAAGAAGATATTATTGTTGGTGTAGACTTATGGACCATCGACATTATGACGTAAACACTACCTCGCTAACTTTGAAACATGAGTCTATATAACTTTAGATAAAAGATTCTACTACAGTGGACGTATGATTAATTCGGGATACAACTAAAAATTGCATTGAAATCCACTCACGAGTGCTCACGCCACTAGTAAAATGGCCCAAAATTATTTGACATTTTTTTAATTTTAATTCTTATGATCTCGTTCGTTTTATTTTGTAATAATTTATCTATGTTACAGATATTAATATTCTGGGTGACAGATAACTTCCTAATGTATCATCCCAGAGGAGTCAGTACTAAAATTAAAACGAAGGTAAGAATGATTCGTTTTTCGGTTTGTTGGGTTAATGTGTTTTTTAGTAGTACGTCATTAACTGATACCGAGGTCGTTGATCTCAGTCGTCTACATTAGTTAATGTTAGTAAAGTTGTAATTTAATAATTATTATACATGATATAGTTCGCTTTAAAAGATGGGCACTATCAGTACTTATTTTACGGAATTATCGCCCTGCTTTAAAAAACTGTGCCGAACATCACAAAATTATTTGGTAAGCTTACGACCCACGTGTAGACGGTTATCGAAGCCCATAGAAATGTTATCTTCAAACGTGAGTCCATATTTGTAACTGCATTGAAATAACGGTTGTCCTAATCCTGAATGAATAATTATGTTCGTTTACGTCCTAGCTGTGTGTGCGGACAAGATTTTCAGAAAAGTGACGTTAGTAAAAATAATATAATGTATGAAAACTTTTCGATCATAACTTATTATTAGGAAACGATTACAAAGTGATTTTAAAACGGAAATGGATATGATACAGTGGTATCGACCCATTTGGGCTCACAGTGCCACCGGCAAACAAAATAACATATATTATATAAAAAATAATCGACTCAGTGCTAGTAAAACTCCCGCTTTGGGACATCTGGGTGTAAACAAAGCTTTTCGTGTATAAACTTACGCTACTAGCTGGGACGAAAATGCACACAAGAAAAAAATACACGTAGATAATATTACAAGGTTTGGCTGTGCGAACTATGTTCCCTTTGCTTGTTCAGTTGCAGAAATAAACGTTTTTTATTAACGTTAAATCCGATTTAATATCAGGTGAGATACCAATCGATAAAGAAAGAGAAGTCTGGTTCGGAAGAGGACGAGCACTCGGACGACGAGCGGCTGCTCGGCGCTAGCGTATGACAAAACAGGAAGCCCACAACGCAACGGGCTGTGGTATCGTAATCTCTTAGTAATAGTAACGTTTAGAATACCGACCGACTGCTAGTTCCGTAAGTTCAGAATTGTTTTCATTAATAAAGGTATAAAGAGATTGTTCCGATCGCGAAAACGGGATAAACCATTAGACTAAAGAAACTTAAAAGAGTTCGTATTCAAATAGGCTGACAGAACAGTAACCGTACCTATAGAACAACGGACAGTTTATGGACCGATTTTTTTTAGTTGCTATAGCGTTAAAAAAAAAGCAAAGAACATCGTTTGACAAACAGCCTAGAAAATTAAACATAACTGTTTTTGTTTTACCTCTTTATAAATAAATTTAAATATGGTATTCCAGAGCTCGGACTTCCGTGAAAAATCTATAGACATAACGACTTTTTAATTCCCTAAAATTTTTAACAAACAAGACAACAGTCAATTATGAAATCTAAACCTATGGTAATAAATGCCTATAATTGAAAACGATCCAAGAAATTCTATTGTTGTTATTATTCAATGCCGTAATTTGTTTCCAAAAAAAAGCAACTGTTTATCGGACAATAGCTAATCATTGGAAAATAGTTAAAAACGAAATTATAGAAAAAATAATGCACGTATTTTCTTGATATATCTGGTTTATTCTCGAAACTAAATAATACCGGGATAATAATTGGAATTTTANATTGGAAAATAGTTAAAAACGAAATTATAGAAAAAATAATGCACGTATTTTCTTGATATATCTGGTTTATTCTCGAAACTAAATAATACCGGGATAATAATTGGAATTTTATAATGCTACCTAAGGCTTCAATTCACTTCCATACAAAATTCCAAAGATTCGCATTCGTAAATATAATGAGACTAATAAATGCTTAGCTTCCTATAACAATGTGAGTTCAGTCATTTTAACAGATTCACGTCCAATTTTTTTCGAAGAGTAAAATATTTTTATACGTCTCATTTATGAAATGAATTGTTGTATAATGTTCCTATAGTAAAATTTATGTTAGTTCTTAATAATACTGCTGAGATCGTGTAGGATGACGTGCTACGTCTTGCTCGCGCTTTCTGCACTAGCGGGCCGAGTGAAAAGGACGCATAACTTATAAGTACACAATTATTATTATGCTTGTTATAACATCTATAGTGCCATGTATTTGGAATTGTTTTGAAAAGACACATCGAACCGAGACTAAAATTCTGTTGGAGTATCTCGCTAATTCAATTATTTATTGTTTTTATTTTATGAAGTCGTCATCATTATAGTCGTCCGGTGACCACGAAAACTGGAAGTTATTCGTAGTGTAGGAAATAATAAAATGAAAATTATAAACGCAGTAATGAATTCGTAAAAAATGTTTTAATAATGTCTACGACTCGCGCAAACCGAATAACAATACTACATTGTTAATTTTATACTGAAATCAGCCATACTGCCGTGACGTGGCTGTTTGTCGACGCATGGGACCCAAAACCGAATCATGCTCCGAATTCATCGCTCAATTTTAATGTGCTGGCAATTCCAATGTTTGCTAATGTCAAATTAAAACTAAACGTTCAGAAAAAATGAAAATAAATCCTGAAATATCTTTACGTTAAGGATTGCGACTGGTTTCGAACCCCGTAGTACAATAATCAAGTTAACTGACCTTTAGATCAAAGAAGAGAGAGAAAAGCAAAATTACGTGTTCTAGCGAGTCGTTTACATTACATATGGCAGTTCACCGTTCACGGCGATCACAGTAGAAGATTGTATTAAAAAAAAACGCCTTCCAGTCATAAAAGAAAAAAAAATATTTATTTTTATTAGACATCACACAATAATAGCTCTGATTGAAAATGTTCCTTAATGATTTTAATATTGTAATCTATGTTAGGACGGATTATTTAAATTTTTAGTACAACATCACAAATAAAATGAAATTAGACATTTGTACTTAACCTCACATATTGTTGACACGATTTTATTTTAGAGCATAAAAAATATGAATAGTCTGTCTGTGGTAAAAATCGAAGTATCTGAGGACTTTTTAGCGGGAACGCGAGGAGTGAAATTGTGTGATTTATTTTATTTTGTCTATTTAGTGTTTCTTCAGGTTTAAATGTGTAATAACGGTGGTTTATTAACTGTTTAATATCTGTGTAAGTGCACAAATGTGGGAAAATGAAACAAAGCCGCTGGACGTAACTTCTCGGGATCCTTCAAAAATTGCTCTGAAAAAATTTCAGTAAATGACCACTATTTTACTGAGGTTATATTTCATCCCATATCATCTCATTTCATTTCAATTCATACCAGTTGATTAATGTCTCAAATTAATCATCTTCATTTTATTTCACTCCATGTTATCATTTTTCATAAAAATAAGAATATAAATTGAAATAAGACATGACTTAAAGGTCTTAGTTACCAGATCATAAAATCCCTTAAAAAAAAGAAATATCTAAGAAAAAATGCACGCGCCTGCATCTTAAAATAACCTAAACGTGTTTGTATTTCGATCTGATTTTACCCTCCATTGCTACAGGAACGAATGATATTAAATTAATTGCCATTTTAATAAAATGTGATTAAGGTGTTAATGAAAAAATATTTGAGAATTTAAATTTTAGTAGAAATTATGGTTATTGCAATAATAATGTCGTTTAATAACACCTGGCGATTAGTTCTGATCATATTGATGTAAAAAAAAATCCATCGTGCGTTCTTGAATTAGCATTATGATATTTCATGTGGCTAAGGCATTATTTATTAGTTGGTTTAGTTACATATATTTTTAACTTTTCGCCCGATAGTCGTAATTCACCAAATCAATTTGACCCTTTCATGCCTGGTGATACGTTAAAAAGTGCAGCTCTAAGTGAATAAAATCTTAAAATGAATTCGAATATTTTTGTAGCTTTATCTTTTATTAACACCTTATAAATAAATGATGTAAATATTGGTTAAGGAAAATGTTTTGTAAAAAAATAAATACATGTATATATTGGATTACTTATGATATATTTTATGCATACTTTAATTGTTTGTGCAAATATAATACGATATGTTTATGTTGAGTTTTATTTTTGTGTATACTGCAATACAACATAGTGCTGTATTTATTGGACTTGCAGACTTATGTACTATTACTTATGACTTACAGTCCAATGAAGCCCACCTGTCCTGGTGTAACTGGAAAGGTCTCTGGGACACCAGTAATCCCTCATTCATAAAAAAAAAGCCAAATGAAAACGATTAATAATAAATAAAAATATAATAGTTTAAATAAAAATAATTTAAAATGAAATTATTGATATTGTTACCCTGGTGATCCTGGTCGGGATATTTGGTCAATGTAGAAAAATTCTTGTTTTTCATCTATACGATATACGTTTGTTAATTTGGTTGGGTAAAATGTTTTAAAATAATGGCTTACATATGTAGACACAAATAAAACTAACAAAAAAGATGTTAAAAATGAATATTTTTATTTCATTTGTTTGTATCAAAATCTGATAGAAGGCGCGCAAGTAGTTTTAATAACTTCGTACAGTTATTGATAGTCACTAGCTAAAAACTAAAACAGCGATTCCAAATGATTCAAAAAGCTTACGTTCTCAAAATAGTTTTTTGTGTGTGTATGTATCATGTGTGTTTGTGCTCATCACCGCATTTACTTTAATGAAGAAATATTTAAGTTGTCAACAAATAGAATGGTCTCGAACAGGGAGAGATGACGGAACATCGTGAGACGCATCAAGTCTGCTCCCTCCAACACTACATGACGATCACGACCACTTTGTCACGAGTGACACGATTGAGAAGAAGAAGGTCAACAAATAATATAATCTTAAACAATACGATATTGTGATAACTTAACTAACTAACCCATTCACAGGGGGCTTTATGTTCAAACAGAGCACCATATTCATGTCTGTCTTGAGCGCACCGCAACGAAGAAACGGACGAGGCGCATTAGACCTCGTAACGCACTTTTGGTGATAATAAAAACTATTACAGATTTAAGGAACGTTAAAAAAGTATGGCCCGATTCGCGTGACAAACGTTAACTTGTTTGTCAAGATTTATCGATGACAGTTGCTATGACAATAACAATGGTTCACTAAAATAAAACTAACATGCGCGTCGTTTTAGTATCCATAAAATAATAATATTATTTATGAATAATTTTTTGGTATTTATTTAATTGTGCGTAATAAAGAAATATATTCGTTGTGCAATTAGTTCAAAATGGAAGAAAGGGATTTAAGGAAGTTACTTCAGACTAAGAACGGGTGTAGAGTTCCGGTGATGCCGCCGGTACCGGATATTCACATGATGGACAAACTGCCTTTCACACCTTTGCCGCCATACAATAGAATCAAGGTAGGTACATATAGTTTACTTATTAATTATTTGCTGGGAATGTATCCATATACTTTGTTTTTATGGCCTTTGTAGGTAGACGAGCATGGTCTACCCCATGGTGGGTGGTTACTGTTGCTCAAGGATTCAGGAGTACCAAGGGCATAGCCAAACCACAGGCTACCTATATATAAATATATATATATATATATACCTACTATATCATCCATTACGAAAACTTAATGAATGGGTTTTCTTTATTGAAACAGGATAAGCAGGCTAAGTTTCGGAAGATTTTAGAAGAGAAAGCTACTAAAAGGAAAGTGGAAATAGCACGACCCCTTCTCGAACTGTACGAACGTGATCGCCTTGTCGAGTCTCAATCGAAACACATCGGTATCCTGCGAGAATGCGCCGAGAAAATTAAAGCACCCCCAATGCTAAAATCTTGGGAGCGAAAAATTCGTAATCTGATTCCGGCGAACCTTCGACAGTCCTTTCCGACGCTCGTGGAAGAGCTCATGAATGAGAGCAAAGACGAGTGGGATCGTAACCTCCACGATCTGGCTGTGAAAACGGTAATTCGAGAAGTGCCAGGGGTGCCACGTAAAAGATATGAAGAACCACATTTCAAATTTAAAGGAGTCACATCGAATTATGGAAAATTGCTGAAGTACAGAAGGAAATTACAAGACGGCTCCCTCTTGTTGCATCCCTTTATAAGATTGATTCTTGAATCATCCGAGAAAACGTTCCCGTTACACATTATCGACTTGGCGAAGTACAGAGCCAAAGGGCCCATGAGCTTGGATGAATTTCGACTGAAAGTTTTGGACGAAATAAAACGGGCCGATTACTTGGTCTCGAGCACTTGGTACGGTATACTTGTCCAGTGGCTGAAGAATCCAAGGTGTCTCAAAGGTATGAAGCCGCGGAAAGTGAACGATTTTGTTAAATGCGCCACTAAAATGATTTCCATGCAGATACAGGAGCTAATGCGTCAATCAATAAACGCTATAATCGATTTTTTAAAGGATCCCGAAGCTATACCTGTATTGAGTGTATGCTTAGATTTCGACGGAGAATTTATTTATGACCCGACCCTTGAGACTATTTATGAAGTTTTCCACAATATAGCAGATGCCATTTCTCATATATCACAAAGACTCATGCCTATTGAACAATATCTAAAAATACCTTACAATTATGACGCTTTGCCTGTCGTGTACAATGAGTGGTTACATAAAGACGGCCACGAAAGACTACAGCAACAATTNTTAGATTTCGACGGAGAATTTATTTATGACCCGACCCTTGAGACTATTTATGAAGTTTTCCACAATATAGCAGATGCCATTTCTCATATATCACAAAGACTCATGCCTATTGAACAATATCTAAAAATACCTTACAATTATGACGCTTTGCCTGTCGTGTACAATGAGTGGTTACATAAAGACGGCCACGAAAGACTACAGCAACAATTAAATATAGTATTTAAACCTTTAAACCAATACGTAGAAAAATTACGACAGGAATATAATATGTTGTACGGAACACCAGCCAAAGAGGCTCTTGAGAAATTTATCAATGAGACTGAGGCATTTGAAGAGTTGCGAAATAAAATCAAATACTACCAAGACATAGATTCAAATATTACAGCCGTTCTGGAAAATGAATATTTTAATTGTGCTGTTGTGTGTCAACTAAGGATGGTTGACGGCTTGAAGTCCAGAGCCCTCGAATTTGTTAATGACATCATCGCCGGTATCGTCAAAGGACACATGGCGGAAAATGAAAGCATTTGTTCAGAGTTCGAAATTATAGCAGCTAAAGCCCTTAAAGAACCTGAAAACGCTACTGAATTAATAGAGCAAGGCGTTTATATATTACACGCAAAAACAGTTTTAGTTGAGGCATTAAAGGAAAGAATACTAGTTCAAATTAACATCATATCAAATCTATTAGAGATGACTTCACTTTCTTCGGACCATGTAAAATCAAACACACGAACTGTAAATTGGCTCAAAGATATTAAACCAATCTTCGAAAAAAATGCTGCGGCCTATGAAACCTTCAAAGCTGACATGGAGGAAAGTCTATTGGGCAAGATTGCCTATTTGAACAAAGAAGTCACGGACATGACGCCCTATCTCGAGTTACTTGATAACATGGATGATGTGAACCACACGCTTGAATATTTGGAATATTTAAGGAAACTCGTTCATCGCTTGCACGATTGCGATAAACTTGTGACATGGATAAATAATGAAGAAACCACTTTTAAATTTCCAGTAACAAATTACCCCGAGCTGGAGGAGCTGAAAGAGTTCATAATACCTTTTTATAGCCTTGTTTATTTGGTACATAGATGGAAACGCAGTTATTACACTTGGATGGATGGGCCTTTTGAGTATCTTGATCACAATCAGATTGAACAAGATCATGACTTTTACTATAAAGAGTTTCTGAAAATATCAAAAAACTACAGAAACAAGATAAAGCAGCAAATAGCTGAGGGCGTCGAGAAGAGGTTCCAGGGACTCGTTGATGATCCAGATGTTAATAATCTACCTGCACCAATGAAGTTATGTGCTCAAGCTGTCGCAGAGATAAAGGATTGGAGACCCAATGTCCAAATGGCACATATCATGTGTAATCCTGCTCTGGTGCAAAGACACTGGGACGAAATGTCCACTATCGCTGGTTTTGATCTAACACCCACAGCTGGTACATCACTCAGAAAGATTATAAATTTCAACTTATGGGGGGATTTAGATCAATATGAAATCATAAGTGTTGCTGCGACGAAAGAATTAGCACTCATAACAAACTTGAACAAAATGATGGCAGAATGGACTGATATTTGCTTCAAAACTAGTCCATACAAAGACAGTGGCATATTTATTTTGTCTGGACTTGATGATATACAAAGTGTCTTAGATGATCACATTGTGAAAACCGTTGGAATGCGAGGATCAGCATTTGTAAAACCATTCGAAGCTCAAGTAAGAACATGGTACGAAAAAATAGTTCGTGTTAACGCAACTATTGATGAATGGGGAAAAGTTCAGAGCCAGTGGCTCTATTTACTACCTATATTTTCCTCCAAAGACATAGTTGCCCAAATGCCCGAAGAAGGTGTAATGTTCGTTGAAGTTAATAATATATATCGTCGATATATGGGATCAGTAGATAAAGATCCACATGTACTTGAAATTGCTGGAGGTACTGGTATTTTGGAAGCGTTCCGAGCTGCGACTGCGTTCTTAGAAAAAATCAACGATGGTGTCAATAACTATTTAGAGAAAAAGCGGTTATATTTTCCGAGATTCTTTTTCTTATCAAATGACGAAATGTTAGAAATTTTGTCTGAAACTAAAAATCCACTCAAAGTTCAACCACATCTGAAAAAATGTTTTGAAGGTATAAATAGATTGGTCTTCGACGGAGAATTCAATATAAGTGCAATGATATCTATGGAAGGTGAACAAGTTGAATTTCTGGATATGATCAGCGTTGCTGCTGCTAGAGGCTCAGTAGAAAAGTGGCTTGTTCAAGTTGAGGAACAAATGCTTAAAGCTGTAAAAAGTGAAACAGAAATTTCCTATTATGACTATCCAAACATGGGTCGAGTAGAATGGGTTTTATCTTGGGAAGGAATGGTTGTGTTAGCCATATCTCAAATTTATTGGGCAGTTGATGTCCACGAAAGTTTAAATACTCACAAATTAAGTGAGTTACAAGCATTCCACTCTGAATTGACTAAGCAATTGAATGAAACAGTTGCTGTTATTCGTAGAACAGATCTAACGAAATTAAGCAGCATTACAGTTAAAGCTTTAATCGTAATCGATGTCCACGCCAAAGATGTAATATCGGATCTGATAAAAAAAAAAGTTACCGAGGTAACCGACTTCCAGTGGCTTGCTCAGCTACGTTATTATTGGGAGGAAGAACGGGTTTTCGTAAAGATAATTAATGCGGTCGTAGACTATGCTTATGAATATTTAGGTAACTCTGATCGACTGGTCATAACTCCGTTGACAGACAGATGCTATCGAACGCTGATTGGCGCTTACTATCTCCATTTAAATGGAGCTCCCGAAGGTCCAGCGGGTACCGGTAAAACGGAAACAACTAAAGACTTGGCCAAAGCTTTGGCAGTACAATGCGTTGTTTTTAATTGTTCTGACGGCTTAGACTACAAAGCAATGGGAAAGTTCTTTAAAGGATTAGCTTCCTGTGGAGCTTGGGTGTGTTTTGATGAATTCAATCGTATAGAAGTTGAAGTATTGTCTGTTATAGCTCAACAGATTTTGTGCATTGTTCAGGCTGTTAGACAACATTTAGAGACATTTGATTTCGAAGGTACTACCCTCAAACTTAATCCAGCATGCTACGTTTGTATAACAATGAATCCTGGTTATGCCGGTCGGTCAGAGCTGCCTGACAATCTTAAAGTGTTGTTCCGCACCGTAGCCATGATGGTTCCAGATTACGCAATGATAGGTGAAATATCACTTTATTCTTTTGGTTTTATCGATGCTAGAAGTTTGTCAATTAAAATAGTAACAACTTACCGTTTGTGTTCAGAACAGCTATCATCTCAAAACCATTACGATTACGGTATGCGTGCAGTCAAAACAGTATTGTCGGCGGCTGGTAATTTAAAACGAAGCTTTCCAAACGAAAGTGAGAGTGTCCTACTATTGAGGTCGATAACAGATGTGAATTTGCCTAAATTTTTATCATTTGATGTCCCTTTATTTGAAGGTATAATATCAGACTTGTTCCCCGGTATTTCTTTACCTAAGCCTGACTATGAAAACTTTTTAAATGCATGTCATGACGTTTGTGAAAACAATAACCTACAACCAATGGAATGTTTTTTGATAAAGGTAATTCAAACATATGAAATGATGATTGTAAGACATGGTTTCATGTTAGTGGGTGATCCATTCTCGGGTAAGTCTATGACATTAAAAGTACTCTCGGAGGCGTTGTCGTTAATATATGAACGAAATCAGCCCGATGGCTGTGAATGCACGTATAAAGTTTTAAATCCTAAGGCTGTAACGATGGGCCAACTGTATGGTGCATTTGATCCAATATCGTACGAATGGACGGACGGAATAGTGGCGACTATGTTTCGAGAGTTTGCATCTGAAGACACTCCGGTGCGGAAATGGATAGTATTCGATGGGCCAGTTGATGCTGTGTGGATCGAAAATATGAATACAGTTTTAGATGACAACAAGAAGTTGTGTTTGACGTCGGGTGAAGTAATGGCAATGTCGAACGTTATGTCTATGATTTTTGAAGTTATGGATCTTTCGCAAGCGTCCCCTGCTACCGTATCTAGATGCGGTATGATATACATGGAATCGACATCGCTTGGTTTCATGCCATTTTATAAGTCATGGCTAAACACTTTGAATCCTATATGGTTAGAAGAAAACGAAGAATACATCTATGATATGTGCGATTGGCTGTTTGATCCGTTAGTGTATTACGTCAGGAAGTTTTGCGGTCAGCTCGTTACGGCAGGCGAAGTAAATTTAGTTATAAGCACATTGAGGTTAGTAGAGATGTTAATGGATAACGCCATCGAAGGCGAGGAAGACACAAAATATACTAGAACATGGTTTCTAGCATCTCTAATGACTGCCATTGTTTGGGGCTTAGGAGGGATACTGAATACAGACTCACGTGAAAAGTTTGACGATATAGTGAAAGAATATTTTAAAGGAGAAAAAGGGATTCCATCAAAAATTGAAAGAATAGACGTTTCAATTCCTGCAGAAGGAATGTTAATCGATCATTTTTACATGTATAAGGGAAAAGGCTGTTGGAAAACATGGCCGGATGCTGTTAAGGCTGTACAAGTAAAGGAGCAGATCAATCTTCTTCAAACTGTAATACCAACACTAGAAACTGAAAAATTCATGTATTTACTGAACTTGCATTCAAAATACTTAAAGCCGCTGTTACTAATAGGACCGACCGGAACTGGCAAAAGCTTTTATGTACAAAACTTTTTAATGAACAACTTGGATATGGAAAAGTACACACCTGGCTTTATAACTTTCACAACAACTACTTCTGCAAATCAAACACAAGACTTGGTTATTTCAAAGTTGGTGAAAAGGAGGAAAAATAATTATGGCCCTACTAGAGGGAAACACGCCATAATATTTATAGATGATATGAACATGCCCGCCAAAGAGGTTTATGGTGCACAACCCGCTATTGAATTACTGCGATTATATTTTGATCAAAAACATTGGTATGATCTTAAAACAACCGACAAGCTATTCATATACGACACCATATTTTATGGAGCTATAGGTCCAGTGGGAGGAAGTCGCCAATTGATATACCCTAGGATGTTAAGACATTTTAATATTTATTCAATAAACGAGTTCTCAAAGGAAAGTATGACTAAAATATTCATGTCCTTGTTACAACTGGGTTGGAGAAGGAATGGGTTCGGTCAAGATACTCAACCTTTTATAGTAAATATTATAGCTGCCACTACGGATATATATGATCAAGCAAGAGAAAATTTGCGACCTACACCAGCTAAATCACATTACATTTTCAATCTTAGAGATTTCTCTAGGGTAATACAAGGTTGCGCCTTGCTAAGAAAAGAATCTGCCGATAATAAGAAGACGTTTATTAAAATCTGGATTCATGAAATAATGCGCGTGTTTTATGACCGATTAGTTGATGATCAAGATCGCGCCTGGTTCTTCGGAGTACTAAAAAAATCTACGAGAGATTTTATGAAAGATACATTTGAATCCGCTTTGGAAACTTATCAAGATGAAAAAGGTGAAGTAAATCAGGAAAATATAAAAAAAATGATGTTTGGATGCTATTTAGATACTGACAGCGCAGAAGGAGAAAGACGATATGAAGAAATTCCGTCTAAAGAAGTGTTTCTAAATATAGCGGTTTCTATGCTTTCTGAGTACAACTCTATGCACAAAGCTAAAATGACTATAGTATTATTTGATTATGCTTTGGAACATTTATCGAAAATATGTCGCATATTGTCAATGCCATCGGGAAATGCTTTATTAGTCGGCGTTGGTGGATCTGGCAGACAGTCTTTAACACGTTTAGCTAGTACCATCTTAGGACAACAAGTTTTTCAACCAGAAATTACTAAATCTTACAGCGTAAAAGATTGGCATGATGATATAAAGCTAGTGCTCCGAGAATCTGGTGGCCTCAACAAAGATACGACTTTTTTATTTACTGAAAGTCAAATAAAAGAAGAATCCTATATTCAGAATTTAGACAGCCTGTTGAACTCAGGAGAAGTGCCGAATTTGTACGGTTTGGATGAAAAACAAGAAATACTCGAATTGGTGCGCTTAGCCGCTCAAGGAGGTAACAGAAATTTGGATATAAGTCCATTACAAATATTAGCATTTTTTGTTGGTCGATGCAAAGCGAAACTTCACATAGTTTTATGTTTTAGCCCTATAGGCAGCTCATTTAGAACAAGACTACGATTATATCCATCACTAGTCAATTGTTGCACTATTGATTGGTATGATAGCTGGCCAGAAGATGCACTAGAAATGGTAGCGCATCATTATATGGTTAAAGTAAATGTGCCGGATCCTGTCAAATCTTCTGCTGTTATTGCCTGCAAACAGTTTCATGTTGATGCTCGCATTGTATCAATCGATTTTTTTAATCATTTTGGACGTAAAACTTATATTACATCTGCTTCATACCTTGATTTAATTAAATCTTTTACTACCTTAACGAATAGGAAACAACGTGAACTAAGAGCTGCCAAACTCAGATATACAAATGGTCTCGATAAATTGGGCCAAGCTGCCGATGCAGTAGCAATAATGCAACGGGATTTGAATGCTTTAAAACCTCAACTAATAGTAATGGCGGAAAAATCTGCAAAAATGATGCAAGAAATTGAAGTTGAAACAGCTATTGCAGATAAAGCCGCTGCACAAGTTAGAGAAGACCAAAAAGTCGCAAATGTTCAAGCCGCAGCTGCCCAAGAACTGAAAAAAGATTGTGAAGCTGACTTAGCTCTTGCTTTGCCAATATTAGAAGACGCAATTGCAGCCTTGAATACTTTGAAACCAGCCGATATAACAATTGTGAAATCTATGAAAAATCCACCATATACCGTTAAATTAGTAATGGCTGCGGTGTGCGTTATTAAAGGCATTCCCCCTGATAAAATTCCTGATCCTGATAACCCTGGCAAGAAAATGTTTGACTTTTGGGGACCAAGCAAACGAATTTTAGGAGACATGGGCTTTTTAGATTCTTTAAAAAACTTTGATAAAGATAATATTCCGGTAGCCACAATGCAAAAAATCAGAAAGGAGTATCTTTCAAACAAAGATTTCAAACCTCACATAGTAGCAAAAGCTTCTGCCGCCGCCGAGGGTTTGTGTAAATGGATCATTGCTATGGATATGTATGATGCTGTAGCTAAAGTGGTAGCACCAAAAAAAGCAAAATTAGAAGCTGCTGAAAAAGAGTTTGCACAAACTATGGCTATTTTAGAAGAAAAAAAAGCTATGGTAGCACGATTAGAAGCCAAGTTGGCTGAACTGAATGAAGCTTTAGAAGAAGCTAACATTAAAAAGAAAGCCTTAGAGGATGAAGTGCAGTTGTGTATTGATAAATTATTTAGAGCTGAAAAATTGATAGGCGGATTAGGAGGTGAAAAAGTGCGATGGACTGTAGCAGCTGAAAACTTGCAAACCCTGTATGATAATCTTGCTGGAGATATTCTTGTTTCCTGTGGTATAATCGCCTATTTAGCTCCGTACACTTTGCCTATTAGAATAGAAATTATAGATAAGTGGCGTGACCTTGTAATCAAGCTTAATATGCCGCACTCTGAGCAATTTGTTTTTAAGGATGTTTTGGGCACTGATATTAAAATCCAAAACTGGTGCATCGCTGGATTACCAAGAGATTTATTTTCAATTGATAACGCCATCATTCAAGATAACTCGATGCGATGGTCTTTACTGATCGATCCTCAGGGTCAGGCAAATAAATGGATTAAAACAATGGAGAAAACGAATGATCTTCAGGTACTCAAATTCACCGATGGTAATTATATGAAAGTTATAGAAACTTGCTTGGAGTACGGGAAACCAGCATTAATTGACTGTGTGCTAGAAGACGTGGAAGCTCCATTGGATCCAGTGTTACTAAAACTCACTTACCTTCAAGGCGGAAAAGAATTTATTGCTCTTGGTGATAATGTCATAGAGTATCACCCAAATTTTAGATTATATATGACAACGAAACTGAGAAATCCACATTATTTACCAGAGATATTTAATAAGGTCACCCTAATAAATTTCGCATTAACAAAAGATGGTTTAGAAGATCAATTGTTAGGAATAGTTGTTGCAAAAGAGAGACCGGATTTACAAGAAAAAAGAGAAAAATTAATTGTACAGGGAGCAGCTAATAGAGCTGCACTCAAACAAGTCGAAGATGATATATTACGAACACTTCAAGAAACGAAAGGTGATATTTTGGAGGATGAGTCCGCAATTGAAGTACTGGATTCATCTAAAAATCTAGCCATTGATATAATGAAAAAACAAGAAGCTAGTTTAGAAACAGAAACAATAATTGAAAAATTCAGATTGGGTTACAGGCCCATTGCCTCGCATTCAGCAGTTTTATACTATTGTGTGACCGAACTTCCAAACGTGGACCCCATGTACCAATATTCGTTGACATGGTTTATTAATCTTTATATTATATCTATTGAAAACGCAAATAAATCAAAAGATCTAGAAAAGCGATTAAAATTTCTTAAGGATACTTTTACTTATAATTTGTATAGTAATGTATGCCGTTCTCTTTTCGACAAAGACAAGTTAATGTTCTCTTTTATAATGTGCTCAAAGATGATGCTTTCAACTGAGAAGATGAATGTTGACGAATACAAGTTCTTGATAACAGGTGGTATAGCTGTAGAAAATCATTTAAAAAAACCTGTGGAATGGCTACCGGACAAAGCTTGGGATGAAATTTGTCGGCTGAATGACTTAAAAGCATTTAGAGCTTTCAGAGACGACTTTGTTAAAACTATAATCAAATGGCAAGAAGTGTATGACGACATTGAGCCACAGAATAAAACATTGCCTGGAGGCTGGGATGANTTGATAACAGGTGGTATAGCTGTAGAAAATCATTTAAAAAAACCTGTGGAATGGCTACCGGACAAAGCTTGGGATGAAATTTGTCGGCTGAATGACTTAAAAGCATTTAGAGCTTTCAGAGACGACTTTGTTAAAACTATAATCAAATGGCAAGAAGTGTATGACGACATTGAGCCACAGAATAAAACATTGCCTGGAGGCTGGGATGAAAGATTAACCCAATTTCAAAAACTTCTGGTAGTCAGAGTACTGCGACCAGATAAATTAACTATAGCCGTTTCTCAATTCCTCGAAAAAGAAATGGGTCGAAAGTACACTACACCACCTCCTTTTGACATCAGCAAATCTTTCGGAGATTCAAACTGCCTTGCCCCACTTATATTCATACTCTCCCCTGGCTCTGACCCAATGGGTGCACTGATCAAATACTGCGAAAGAATGGGCTTTTCTCACAGATTCAATTCTATTTCACTGGGGCAAGGTCAAGGACCTATTGCAAGGGCCATGATAGAAAAAGCTCAAAGCGAAGGTGGCTGGGTTTGCCTGCAGAATTGTCATTTGGCAGTTTCTTGGCTTCCTGTGCTCGAGAAAATTGTCGAGGGTTTTGATTTAACGAACACCGATCTGAGTTTCAGGTTATGGTTGACTAGCTATCCTTCCGACAAGTTCCCTCAGTCTGTCTTACAAGTAGGCGTCAAAATGACAAACGAACCTCCTACTGGACTTCAACACAACTTGAATCGTTCATATATTTCAGAACCATTAAAAGAACCCGAGTTTTATGAAGGATGTCCTGGAAAAGACAAAACATTTAGCAAACTCTTGTATGGAATAAGTTTTTTTCATGCAGTTGTACAAGAACGTAAGAAGTTCGGTCCACTTGGTTGGAACATTCAGTATGGATTCAACGACTCTGATTTTCAGATATCAGTAATGCAACTGCAAATGTTTTTAAATCAATATGAAGAAATACAGTACGTGGCAATCAAATACCTCACAGGAGAATGTAACTACGGCGGACGCGTGACTGATGATTGGGATCGACGTCTAATCGTAACAATACTAGATAATTATGTGAATTCTGGCGTAGTCAACGATCCTAATTACTTGTTCTGTGAACTCGGTCAACAGTATGGCTTACCTCGTCGATGTGAATATCAGGATTATTTGAAGCACATAGAAAGTGTTCCAATTAACCCACCCCCAGAAGTGTTTGGATTACACATGAACGCGGGAATAACGCGCGACTATAGTATTTCCATGGAACTTACATCTTCTTTAGTCCTGGTTGAAGGAACAGGTAGTGGTGGAGAAGGGGGTAATACTGAAACCATTTTGGTTCTTATGGCATCGGAAATCTTGTCGAAGTTACCTCCCAAATTTGATGTTGAAATAGCACAAAAAAAATATCCTGTTGATTACAATGAATCCATGAATACTGTACTCATACAAGAGATGGAAAGATTCAATAAATTACTAAATGAAATCAAATCTTCATTACAAGACTTACAAAAGGCTGTAAAAGGTTTAATTGTAATGTCCCCAGCATTGGATTTACAATCTAACGCAATGTTGTTAGGTAAAATCCCAGAAAATTGGAGAAAATTCTCATATCCCAGCCTAAAACCTTTGCCAAGTTATGTGGCAGACTTTATAGAACGATTATCTATGTTAGAAGATTGGTATCAAAATGGGAAACCACCGACATTCTGGTTACCTGGCTTCTTTTTCACGCAAGCCTTCCTAACAGGGTCCGTTCAGAATTATGCCCGAGCAAAGACGATACCAATTGATTTGCTAGTATTCGATTTTGAAATTCGCAACGTCGACTATGAAACTACACCTCCAAAATGGGGTGTTTTTGTTCAGGGTCTTTTCATGGATGGCGGTAGGTGGAATCGTGAGACACATGCAATAGCTGAACAACTACCAAAAGTATTGAACGATAATATGCCCGTAATATGGCTCTACCCGAAATTGAAAAATGAATTCGATGAAGGCACAAGGTACAAGTGTCCTTTGTATAAGACTCTGGAAAGGAAAGGAGTTTTGGCCACAACTGGACATTCTTCTAATTTCGTGTTAGCCTTTTATTTGCCCTCCGACAAACCATCTGCCCATTGGATTAAACGTAGTGTAGCTTTGCTTCTTCAGTTAGATAACTAACTTTTATTAATAAAAATAGTGACAATTTAACTATCGAGAGGAAAGTTGTTTAATGTATTCGTTACGTTTGATATGTAGCGCATAGTTTAATGAAACGAAGTATGGGACAAAGGCTGTGGGATGGTAATAATGAAGTCGTTTTAACTTTAGCTACGGAGTTTACGCTCTCACAGGAACATATGAGGCTGTTAGCTAATTTTGATTTATATTAACAGTACACGAAATGTGTACATATATTCACTCAAAAATGTAATTAATTTTGTTCACTTTAGACAGCTTATATCAGTTTCATCTTTGTGTTATTAATTTAATTCGTTTTAGTAACTCGATTTATTTCGACTCGATGTTTTTATCATGATCGTTGTTGAACTTGTGAAGTCCGATTTGACGTATAATTACCTGATTTTATGTTTTTTAAATTGCAACTCTTTTAATTACAATCGCCATTTTTAAACAGATCAGGATATGGCACACCCAGCTTTAGGACCTAAAGTTCAAAAAAGTTTGGCTATTCTGTGCCGTAAATAGCGATTAATCTGATATTAATATTTTTCAAAACTTTCCCATACTATTATTAAATGAGTTGAGAAAATAATACATTTCATTATTTGGCATCAACAAATATTTTTTGCTTAAAAAATCCATAGAATATTTTTAATAATAAGTTTTTATCTGTGGAATAAAATAAAACAATTGCTCATTTGCATTTGCATATCATCGTAGGAATATAATGGCAAAAATTCAGATTTTAAATAAAATGAAATGTTTGACCCGGGGGCAGGTAATCAGGCAGGTCAAAGTATCGTATCCATCATGAAATAATTAGGTACTTATGTTAAATACACCTATTTGTAGAATGTCGCGCGTTGCACATACGTGGCGTGCCCGTAGAAAATACAAAAATTCAATTCGTCCATGAATGTCACGTGAACCTATTTCTACAACTTTAGTTATGATGTAGTTTATCAAAATGAGTTTTAGTAATTAAATAATGTATAATAAATATAAACGCATCCGAATCACGTCATTTGCTTTATTTATAATAACTTTAATTTTCGACTTCTTTATATTGTTATCTGAGTATACATAATTAATAAACTTACAATAAAAGAAACTTTTCCCTTAGTTTTACTTTCTGAAGTTTAACCTCTGAATAAGTAGGGCACTTTCCTACAGCCACAAAACAGCAGCCTACACAAACTCTTTTAACTATATTCCGTAGCTGCAGTTTCTTTTTCCTACTTAAGCTATTAGCCTTGAGAGACCATTTCAGCGTAACCTTAATAAGTAGGTGAGCTCGCGGTGCTCAAACCTACCGACTTTGCTAACACTTTAAAGTCGTCATGGCCTAACGGATAAAGACGTCCAGTGCATTCGTGTTGAGCGATGCACCGGTGTTCGACTCCCGCAGGCGGGTACCAATTTTTCTAATGAAATACGTACTCAACATATGTTCACGATTGAAGGTTCACGGTGAAGGAATAACATCGTGTAATAAAAATGAAACCCGCAAAATTATAATTTGCGTAATTACTGGTGGTAGAACCTCTTGTGAGTCCGCGCGGGTGGGTACCACCACCCTGCCTATTTCTGCCGTGAAGCAGTAATGCGATTCGGTTTGAAGGGTGGGGCAGCCGTTGTAACTAACTATACTTGAGACCTTAGAACTTATATCTCAAGGTGGGTGGCGCTTTTACGTTGTGGATGTCTATGGGCTCCAGTAACCACTTAACACCAGGTGGGCTGTGAGCTCGTCCACCCATCTAAGCAATAAAAAAAAAATAAAAAAAACTTACCCTCGCAGGATCTACCATAAAGATCGCGACCCACTGAGAAGATCCGGCGGGAAACTCAGTGGGCTGTGTGTGGGCTAATTTACTCGACGAGCCTTTCGTCTCAAGCGAAGAGTTCGACGAGAACGATGACCGGGAGATTTAGAGACGAACAGCCGCCCCATAGATATAGATACATACACATGTTCGTTGAAAGTACGCATACCTTCCGTTCAGTGAAGAATTAACGAACGACCGCGATGGTCTTCAGTCTGCTTAGTGCGAGTTTTTTAACGTTCTCGATAGCGTAAACGTTAATTCAAATTTGTATGGAGTTGGAATGCTTGCGTAAGTTTGCCGCTAGGGGCGCTGTTCCAACTTCATACAAATTCTAGTTACCTTTTACGCTATCGAGAACGTTATAAAACTCGCACTAAGCACACTGTACACGTATTGTACGTGTGTGATTCACCAAGCTCGGTAAATTCTCGTATCTGTATGGTCGAAGTCACTTTGTGCCCACCAAGATATCGATAACTTTAAATTTTGAGATTTCTACTTTTACAACTAAAAACACAAAATTAAACATAGATAAAAATAATGGATTTTATTCATTTACTCGAATACATTTTTGACATGGCAATATTAAATTAATTATTAATGTGAAATTAAGGTTTTTTTTTTCATTCGTTCATCTCCATTAGCTGTCGTCTTTTGTTCTCTGTTTCGAGCAGCTTACGACGGAGTTGCAACATTATAGCGTTATTTCTTTTCTGCGAACAATAACATTGCCAGATTATTGATTAAAGAATGGACTAAAGAAAGAAGGTAGAAGAAGGGACTAAAACATATACTATAACAATGATTTTTTTTTCCGATACAATACAAATTGATTGTGAGTGATAAGTTGTTATTAGTTTTACAGCTTCAGAAGTAGGTACTTTTACTGGGTTCCGTAAATTATATTTTGATTTTAGTAAAAAAAAAAAAGAAATTTGTAATACTATTAATTTAAGTAGACATGAATCTCTATAAAAGTGAGTTTACATGAGTTTAAATGAGTGGAAGTGTATAATCTATGATGAGTGGCATTTGACCTTCAAAACTGCGCATTCCTTTTCCACAGCAGCGCATTTTCCCTCCACGACGGCGGCTTCTCTGTCGTGTTCTGCATTTATTTCTAGAATCTGCTTTTCTTTTTGGATACGCAACTTTAGTTCCGCTGCTTCTATGTCTCTTTGCTCTTTGTTCTTTAATTCGATTTGTTCACGTTCTGCACGTGAATGGACTATGACGAAGCTTTTTTTATTTTTTTTTATTTATGGATTATGTAGGGGAATGACACCCCGCCCCGCTTAGCTGCTTACTATGCAGTTACAGTAATGAGAAACATACATTAGTCAGTCAGTGGTTAACTAACGTACAGCGATCCACCGCGGTCGCTGACGCGAATAAACATAAAATATAATCATACTCATTGTTTTATTGACCATTCCGATGAGCTTTATGGAGGACAACACGCAGCAAACAACCACCGCACACGCATCCTCCACCTTCATCACCCAATAAACCTCACACTTAGATGGTTGGACGAGCTCACAGCCCACCTGGTGTTAAGTGGTTTCTAAAGCCCATAGACATCCACAACGTAAATGCGCCACCCACCTTGAGATATAAGTTCTAAGGTCTCAAGTATAGTTACAACGGCTGCCCAACCTTTCAAATCGAAACGCATTACTGCTTCACGGCAGAAATAGGCAGGGTGGTGGTACCTACCCGCGCGGACTCACAAGAGGTCTTACCATCAGTAAAAAATATTTCTCTCTAAATGGGTATAAGGGACCCACATTTTAACTAGTGTTACATAGCTACTGAAAATCTTTTATTTGTCTTTATAGACAAACGAGCTTACGGGCCATTTGACGGTGAGTGGTTACCGTCACTCATAGAGGTCAGCAATGCTAGAGGCATAGTCAAGCCGCTGCCTAAAGCTACGTGTCCATGGACATCACTAACTTTAATGCAGCCACGAGCCACGTCGAGACAACATCGAAATCTCAATCGCATTGCTCGATGGGCTCCAAACCGGAATGCATCACTGCTTTGCAGCAAATGTAAAGGTTAAAATATAATTTCTTTACAGTTATTTTAATTGAAAGAAAAAAGTGTGTATCAAGTTAAGATGGCGAAATTTATTTCGCGATTCTTTCCCGTAACCAGATTAGGCCAGATGAGCCATTCATCCAAATACACTATAATATTAATTGTAGAACATAGTATTAATGTATTAAAATGAAACCTTTTTCGAAAAGTCTCTCGAAGTCACTCAAATGTGAATTGAGGTTGGACAAATGGGCCCTAGATTTGGCTTCCTCAGATATTCTACATATTTCTATCATTGATATTTGGTTCTGCGTCTGAGATATCTGCTCTTTCATATCCTAAAAAATTAAGGAAACGTGTCAAGGATTGCTTCCCACAACAATCTCGCCCTGGAAATTTGCGTGTTTACCGATATTGCGAATTTTGGGTTAGATTGTTGGAGAGCAAGAGGCCTTTCCGGCTCCACCAGTGTGCTTAGTGCGAGTTTTTTAACGATCTCGATACCGTAAAAGTTAACTGAAAATTGTATGCAGTTGGAACAGCGCCCCTAGCGGCAAACGTTCCAACTCCATACAAATGTCAACTAACTTTTACGCTTTCTCCTGTGGAAAAAAAAAAAAAAAAAACTTTTACGCTATCGAGAACGTTAAAAGACTCGCACTAAGCACATGGAATAAATAGGTGGAAGTCATTATAACAGGCGGGCGGCCCATTTGTGCCGCTAAATTTATTCGTTCTTTCAAATAGCCAAATTAAAATTTAAAACTTACTTCTAATCGTTCCCTCAAATATTCTACTTCACCTTTCAAACTTCCAAGCTCTTCCAAGAGAGCCCGTTCCTTGTTACGTAGTTTTAGAACTTCTTTTTCTTTCATTATTTTCCGTTTATTAACTAAAAATAAGTATAGAAAAATAGCTGCTTTTAACTTTACAAGGCAACATTTTTTTATTGCTTAGACGAGTGGACAACATCACGGCCCATCAGGTGTTAAATGGTCACCGGAGCTCATAGACATCAACAACGTAAATGCCGCCACCCACCTTGAGGCATGAGCTCGAAGTCCCAGTCTTACAGTATAACGGCCGATTCACCCTTCAAACCGAAACGTATTACTCCTTCACGGCCGAAATAGGCAGGGTGGTAGTACCTACTCATGCGAGCTCACAAGATGCTCCACCAGTAAACCACCACCATCAGTAAAATTACTCGTTGCGCTAAGTTCAGCAGTCTCGAACTTTTTCTCCGGCGTTAAACATATTGGAAAAAGAACAGGGACAACCAAACTCCACACGTCATACTTAGACTGAATCCAATATTCCCATCGAATTCTCTTATGAAGCCAAATCTCGTATTGCAGAAATCATAATTATGACATATGTACGTATAATGTAAATAGTTGAAAATATGTATTTTTCATGGCCTCATGGCTTAAAGGTAACTAGGTGCCATACCAGGCTATAAGCACAAAAATTTTTTTTTTTTCCATTTTTTAAGAACATGAACAATAATATAAAGCTGACTTTGATCGAGTAGGTACCAGCTGAGAAATCATTAATGGTACAGGAGTTATGTTAGGCGGCACTCATACTTGCTACAGCATTGCCCACATGAATCCCCACCGATTTGATATAAAGAAAAAAAAAGATTTTCATTCCTTTTTACTAAATTAATTCTTGATAATACCTATTTAGTTCAAGCCATATATAAAACACTGAAAATTTAAGAACTCAAGCGTCTGTTTTAATACATGGTTCGTTCTGACAATTACACTTTTCTACGTTTCATTAGTTATGTATGTATTAGGTATTTACCTGATTTAAATTTTAATTTCACTAAATCTAACTTTTCGTCGCGTAATGACATTTTACCTTTTCCTGAATATTTCTATGAGTAGTTGAGTACATATGCTAGAGTAACTTGCCCTGCCTAAACCACTCTCTTTATTGTGCTCGTTATTTTACATTAATACTTTAAAAGTTTATGTGTGTTAGTAATGGAAAATTTCGCAAATCAATTTTTTACTTTACCGCCTAAATCTGTTACGACTTTTTCGATCTCAAAGAAGCAAAGACTTAACATACTATAATTCGCCAATAGGTTTACTTGCTTTCGATCCATTATTATTACGATTTTTACATTTCTGATAAAAATTAAACGTGTGCGGTAGGACAACTCACGTAAGCAGTTGCTTTTATATCAAATATCAAAAAGGGTTTATAACGGAACGTAATTTCCGAACGTGCGATACCGCCCCCGCCGCCGCCTTACCGCCCGCTGAGACAGAGCTCTCTGAGCGCGAAAACACACGCCCTCAGCGCGCGCGACGACGACCAGTAAAATATTGCGAGTCTTAGTTTAATTGTACGATTCTCAACTCATTTTGTATTTTATTTTAGTTATTGTGTCGCTTTTATATTAAAACCTCATACCAAATCAGTGTAAACATTATTTCTATATCATCTTCGCCAACAGCCCGGAACAACGAACTCACAAAAACTCACAAAAGCCCGCCAGTCGGACTTGTAGTGTTAAAGGTTATTTTTTCCCCTACCTATTCACTGGTAGCCAAAGGGGCTATTTCAGCTATGCCCGAGCTCACGGGCTCAACTTGAGAGAATTTGCTAACACTAGCCTTCAATTTGCAGAATCTACCATCCGATCGAAGCCCCGACCCACTGAGAAAATCCGGTAAGAATCTCAGGGGGTAAAAAGGGTCACTTCATATTTTAGGAAAATGATTATCAATAGGATGTAAAATTTGAATAACTAATCATAGAAAAATGGTTAATAAAAGCTAGACAACTAATGAGCAACAAATATTCGTCTCGACACTCTCGAGGGCACACATAAACAAATGTTCGATTCAACTACAAAAAAACGGAGAGAAAGAAAGTAATTTTTTTTATTGCTTAGATGGGTGGACGAGCTCACAGCCCACCTGGTGTTAAGTGATTACTGGAGCCCATAGACATTTACAACGAAATGCGTCACTCACCTAAGATATGAGCTCTAAGGTATGTAAGTTACGTGTATTGGGCATATCGCTTACGAGTTCATTTCTGCTTTAATTCCGTCAACTATAATAAAAATAGCATTTCGAGCTATTTTTAATACACCAAATGAGTCGGTAAATTTCTAGTTTACATTTAACTTTTCATGAACTTTATAAACAAGGACTTAATTGTCTAGGCCACGTCCTTTTGCCTTACCAAGTCAAAAACCAAATAAATGTCAATTGTACTGTTCTAGAGTTTGAAAAAGTTTGTTATAAACGATTAAGCGAATTCAAAATAGAAAAAGAATGTTTTGATAAAACGTTTAAGCTTTGTTTGAAAATTAAAATGCGGATTGAATGTTATTTTATTATGTATTTGCTCTACTCTCATGTGTCTTGATCTCTAATATATAATTTATATGTAAATAGTAAAAACGATTAACTATAAACGAAATTTATCAATAGTTTCTCTATTTTTATCAGAGTTTTTTTAATTACAACAAGCAAACCTAACAAAACATTAACAATTGACAACCGATAAAAATCACAAGTGCGAACATCACGTTCCAATTGCATACATTTTTTGTATGTATGTAGGTATGTTCATTAATAGACATAGGGAGATACAATCTATAGATTACAATAATATTAGAAGAAAATTCATCTCGAGTGAACTAGGGCCGACGCATATCGATTTAGCAAATCGATATGACACTTCACTAACGTCAATGTCGTCAAATCGCGAATGCTCTTTTCAGAGTGAAGCCAAGTAAAGTGATAAAATACGTGTTTTATGTTATGAAAATAAAGTAAAATGTAGTTCAACTCAAATTACAAAGATAGAAATATTGTTTTCTTGAGACATCAGATTTACAATTTGCCGCACAAATGTGTAAGTCCTCGAAAATGGTGTCTGGGAGCACGAGGGTGATACAAGTGACCAACATCGCGCCTCAAGCGACTAAAGACCAGATGCAGACGCTATTCGGCTATTTGGGTAAAATCGACGACATCCGCTTGTATCCAACGATCAGAGACGTTTCGTGTCCCGTACAGTCCCGCATCTGTTACGTAAAATATTATGACTCTGCAAACGTAAATGTGGCACAGCATATGACTAACACTGTGTTCATAGACCGCGCACTGATTGTGATACCGGTGCAGTCGGGTGAGATACCAGATGAACACAAAGCGCTCGAAATGTCCAGTAATGGAACCTTGGTACCGGGGTTAAGTTCTGTAGAACCAAGACTGCCCATGCATGTCATCAATACTTTGGATGGAATCCCGCCGAACCAAGTCATTCAAACGCACGACGCTAATTTGACAGCAGCTGGTTTGCCTCCATATCCCCCTTTGCCAACCACATATGACTCTAGAAAAATAGAAGAAATCAGAAGAACAGTCCTAGTGGCTGATACGGGTTCATTAACTTCCCAACAGTTGATTGATCACTTCTGCCAGGCAGGTGAAGTGAAGTATATGCGCTTCTGCAGCAGAGATGTTGACACCCTCAAGTATGCTCTTATTGAGATGACTGAGCAGGAAGCTGTGATCAAAGCATTGCACCTAAATGGATCCACTTTGGACGGACAAACTATTCAGGTAATAATGCATTCCAGCTGGGTAGGTAGTTGTAATGGCCTATGTAGTTGAGGTTATACCTGTATTTCATAGTAAATGGCAGTATTCCTGGAAGACCCTTATGGTATGGCCAAAAATATTGTTGTTTATAGTTATGTATAATAGCAGAAATATGATCAAGCAGCTGTAAATTGGGTGATTTTGTCAAATCTGTTTTTCTAAATATACATGTGATAGTTTTTGTCAGACACTTATGATAAAAGTTGAGTATATATGTATAAGTTTTTAGCATTTAATACACTTATCAATCACGCGTCACTGAAGTGATGCTTTTGTGAGGACTCTGTTACCCACCTGTGGGTAACACTTTTTGTTGACGTTAATAGGGTATTTTTGGATTTTTAAAAGAAATTTTATGGAATAAGCATTAATATCTAAATATAGAATGTACATACATGTAAGTACTTAAACAAAATATGCTTCTTGAAAAAGAAGAGTGTGGGAAACTGTACTAAGATCTCAGGTACTTCTCTACCCAAAGAACTCATCCATTTGCTATTTGGAAACAAAATTATTTGCGATAAATAGAAGATAATTTTATACTTTATTCTTTGTGATAAATCTGTATGGAATAAAAGATAAGGGATAAATAGAAGATATTATTATCATACTCAAGTTGTGTTGTTTATAGACCGGTCTATAGCTTGTTAAGTTGTGCTAAGATTTGTGCTCCATGAGAAATACAAACTAATTGTACTGGGTGACAAACATGTTAAGTGTTTTTGAAGATGTTGATTTCTACCACATGGCTGATTATTCTTGACAAGATAGCATTTGACAAATCACAAATGAACTTACTAATAGTTTTGGCACTTCACCCAAATAATTTTCTTCACTTATAATGATCGAGAAATAAAATTGTACAATTGCAGAAAAATTTAGAGCATCATCACTTAACATGTCAGTATCAACTGTTACTCAATCAACATAAATGTATTTAATTACGTCCAGGTATATCATGCTACGCAATCAATATGCAAACCGCAAACAAAAAGCAACGAGGCTGCCCAACGTGAAATAGAAGAAGCTATGTGCAGAGTGAAGGAAGCGCAGAATTTTATATCAGCGGCCATTGATCCTGTCATCGGATTACTGTCTAAAGACAAGAGAAGGTTTTTATTTCTGCTAATCCATATGATATGATGCTAATTAAATTAAGTAATATGTTTTACTAAATATATAGGTAACCCTCTTATACTGTACTTCTACGCCACCATAATGAGATTTTTGTTTAAAATTATTTCGAAAATTACATTATGCCCAATGTGTTTACAATATGTGGGAAAAATCGAAATTTTATTACTTATTTTTTATGAATAATAGTTAAAAACATACATACAGGCATAGTTAAGATGAGATGTTTCATTCAGAAAAATCATTCTTCTTTTTGTATTGGCTTTTATTCTCACATAAAACGGTTTCGCACAACACGGGACTTTGTACGAACGTACCTGCCGTGTTATAGGAGGGTTATGTGAATAAAAAAACGGTGCACGTGCAACTTGGTGCACGAAGTGAAACTTCTTTTTCCATGAATAGTATTATGGTTTTCTTCATTTTTCATCCTTAAATCAGATTGCTCTTGTAATAGGGAATGTTGTATATAAAAGATGAGAGAGATGATTTATAATGTAAATGTTGAAGAAAGAAATGAAAGAAAAATTAATTTAAATATATATTTTTTAAAGACTTCGTTAAAATATTAGAAGCTACTCGTTGTTAAAGTTCGCGCTGGCCTGTAACAGGTATACTACGCGCATGCGTTCGAGTGCTACCGCTACACATTCACTCTCGCTCTGTCTCTTTCTAGTAAGTAGCTTTAAACGTTTAACGCAACCTTGTTGGAAGTCGCATTAGAAGTTTCACTTCTTACAAATATTACTTTTAAATTAGTAGTAAGTATTAATGATAGTCTTTTGTGCGTTACAGGACTCGGTCACGTTCCCGGTCGCGTCGCCGATCTAGGTCTCGGTCGCGTCGCTCTCGCTCCCGACACCGCGCCAAGCGCTCCTCCCGCTCTCGCTCGCGACATCGCGCTCGCCGCTCACGCTCTCGACACAGACATCGCACTAGGTAAATACAATACCCGCGTGAGGTTAGCAATTGTCAATGAGAAGTCACGATAGAGGAATACTGATGCTTGAAAAATTATACCAAATTTCAATAAAGAATAAACAGTTTAGTGTAATTTAAAATTGTTTTAGGTCTCGTTCCCGACATCGCAGTTCCCGTCGTTCCCGCTCCCGGTCTCGGCACCACAGCTCGCGTTCGAAGAAGGAACGCTCTAAAGATCGCGACCGGAAAGATAGGAAAGGCTCTACAGAAAAAGATAAAGAGAAAGAGAAAGAAAAACGAGAAAAAACCAAATCACCTCCTCCTAAGGCAATAGAAAAAGAAACGAAAGAAGAACAAAAGCCAGAAATTACTGAAACGAATGGTACTAGTCCAGAATTAAAGTCGAAGGCTTCCACTCCTCCTGATGATAAAGAACGGGAGAACGAGAAAAGTGAAAAAGAGAAGGTGAAAGAGAAAGAGAAAGAAAAGTCTCCATCTAAAAAGAAAGAACGTTCCCGTTCACGGGACAAGAAGAAGGAGCGGTCGCGGTCGCGACGCAGATCCCGATCCCGCTCCCGTCGTAAACGTTCTAGATCTCGGAAGCGATCTCGTTCCAGAGAGCGGAAAAGAACGCGCTCCAGAGAAAGAAAGAGATCGAGATCCAAAAAACGGTCCCGGTCACGAGATCGCAAGAGATCTAGGTCCAGGGACAGAAAGAAGTCTAAATCTAGAGAAAGGAAGCGGTCTAGGTCGCGTGATCGCAAGCGGTCTCGCTCCCACAGTCGCCGCTCCAAGAGTCGTTCTCACAGAGATTCCAAAACACCCCACGATAATAAGTCACGCGACAGAACTCCCACTCTTCCTCCTTTACCGGAAAAAAGCGTTCCAATAATTGAGAAGGCTCCAGATATAAATGATGAAAATACATCTCCAGATAATATGGATATTTCAGATTCTCCTTAGTTTAAGATGACATAAGTACTTTTTGGTTTATTAATATTAATAATTTAGGTTTAATATATGTCCGATTTCTTACATAATAAATTCTAGATAATAATCGATGTTTTATTTTATTAAATGAGTCAGACTACACTATTGTGTATAATTTATTTGTCGTAAATAAATCAATTGGCGACAACGGGCTGTTGTAATATTATTGACTACCTTGCAACTTTTTAATTAAAACATTGATAAATTTCAACTTCTCATGAAGTTGTAAATATCTCGATTTTTCATGGCTTCAAGCGTTCCGCGTCAACGAAATCTTATTATGTTAATAAGGCGTGAAATGATTTTTTTCTAATTCGTCAGTTATGGCGACAATATTCAATCAGTAACATCTCAAAATAGCTTTATGTATTAGAGATATTAAAAAAAATGTTTTCCTTCACAAGATGTCCTTGAGTCGACTAGAACGAGTGGGAAATTTATCGGTTCAAATTTTGGTGTCGGTTCTTGAAAATTTAACCTACTCTTCAAATTCTAGCCAATACAATATTATAAGCCTCGCTTGATTTCTGAATTTGCGTTTGTTTTATTTATTTACTCAGAAAATGATGTATGGATTAGAGCATTTAAATCACCTACAAACTCAGGTATGTAACATACGCCTGGTGCAATATTTTTATGAACAACAAGCGAATCATTTAGTTAAATTTCTTCAAAAATCATTCAAACTTGAATTTACTGGTAGTAGACATCTTGTGCTTACTGGTGGTAGGGCCTGTTGTGCTTACTGGTAGTAGAACCTCTTGTGCTTACTGGTGGTAGCACCTTTTGTGCTTACTGATGGTAGGACCTCTTGTGAGTCCGCACGGGTAGATACCACCACCCCGCCTATTTCTGTCGTGAAGCAGTAATGTGTTTCGGTTCGAAGGGTGGGGCAGCCGTTGTAACTATACTTTAGACCTTAGAACTTATATCTCAAGGTGTGTGGCGCATTTAAGTTGTAGATGTCCATGGGTTCCAGAAACCACTTAACACCAGGTGGGCTGTGAACTCGTCCACCCATATAAAGACCAATAAAAAAAAACTGCTGTCTTTTCGTTACTTTTCCAGGTTTTTTAATTGCTTGTTTTTTTTTGTACTTCGCTTCAATCGTACCAAAATGATATTGAATTGTGAAAAGCTATTTGGTTTAATCGATATTCCGGTTAATACGCGACATTTATCTTTGAATTAACCAGTAACCACTTAACACCAGGTGGGCTGTGAGCTCGATCCACACATCAAAGCAATAAAAAAAAAAAATGTGTGCGTGTACTAGTGTACACACGTAAGAAGTGAAACTTATTTATGGCCTTATTTTTCGAAAAATGATCTACATGCAACTTTCTAGAAATTGGTTAAATAAAGTTAAATTAGATAAAGTTTAAACAAAAGGATTTTATTATCATAGACATGAATACAAAACAGATGGCGCGTAACGGAAAAATGTGACGCGTAACCGAAAAACGTGACGGTAAATTTTTTTCCAACGCCGATAAGGAAGTTTCACTTCAAAAACTAAAAAAGTTATTGTACTTATAAAATTCTATTTCATCGTTTTCAGAATTACTTGATCACTGCTGTTTATCTCCACTATTTCACACCGGGCAGCCTAAGAATACGAACGATAGAGCACTCAATCTATCTCGGTGACCTCAAGACACTAATAGAGAACATATTCGATCCATTGCTTCTCGAATCATCGAGACGATGGCTCCAGAAAAGCGAGTCGCCGTACCCCGGCTATTGTCGAGCGCCAGCCAGTGATGAATGTTTGCCTGTACTTTGTAATTGTGAAAAACTCCGAGAAATATGGAATAAAACAAAAGAAAAAAATCTATCAGGGCAATAAATAAAAAAAGTCAACAATAGATTTGTGCCGCGTTTATTATTTATATAGTGCATACACATTTATTCGCCTTATCTATTATATTATTATTCTTAATACAAATAATTAAACCATTACACAGCCTAAAAAAATAACACTTAACGCTTCCACGTTAATATATTTAATTATTTGTACCTACGCATAAATGTACTCACTGCCAAGCAGTTTGTTTACCAGGGATATTTTTTTTAACAGCGCAAATTTGAGCAATGACATTTCGTCTTTACACGATCGAAATACTAAGTGCTCTCTGCTAAAACATATCTATAGAAGTCTTGCAAAAATTCTGGTTTTCATTAAATTTTCTTAGCGTCACGGAGGAGGTCCTATAGCAGACAACGTAAAACGCTTTGGCATCTAAAAGAAGCCCCAAGGAACATCCATAAAATTTATGTTTTAGTCATAATATACAACGCCATGCAGTGGTCGCTGTGGCGGTAATATTCTTCAAGAAACCATGTTTTTAAAGCTACCAAAAAGCTTTTGCTTAAACTGGCAACACTGAGTTACTGTCTACAAACAAATAGTACATTTGAGTCGTCTATTATCAAAGGTGGCAATCTGTGCATTTGAACAAGAAAATGTTATTGATATGTCAATACAGATTGATTTGAATATAATCGTCTCCTTCAAAGAATACGGTTCAAAATCTGCATTAAATAAAGGTTAATACTTAACCTGTTATTTATCTAAGATGTCGTTCAGAAGAGTTTTGTGGCTGCCAATGGAATACAAAGTCAATAATTCGTTTTTCTGATTTACCAATAATTGTCCAAAAGTCACATTGCCGGCTTTGATACTAGTCGACTCATTTGCTGTCTTTTCGTTAGACTTTTTCGGATTATTTATTTGCTTGCGTTTATTTTTCCCTACTTCGCTTCAATCGTACCGAAATGATATTGAGTTGTGAAAAGCTATTTGGTTTAATCGACATTTCGGTTAAAAAGCGACATTTATCTTTGTAATTAAAAGTGCGTTTTATTTAGTGTTAGCATCAACAGTTCGATGTTTTTAATTGAACTTCAATTAAGTTTACTTCATTCGAGTGACTGAAGAACTATTTTTGTAATGATATAATAATTTTCTAAATTTTAAACTAAATGGCTCTCCTGTAAAGTTGTAAAAAGGTCGCTTAAGCCGAATAGCATTTCACCCGACGATATAATTGTGGTGCTATGGTTGCGATGACTGTAACAGTATGTGTTATCCTACCACTTAGCATAAATCGCCTTTTCGCATTAAAAGTGTACAATTTCCAAAAATATTCGAAATTGAGTTAATATGCGTAAACAGTTGGTATGACCAGTTTTTTTTGTCATAAATACTGCAAAAGAGCGTAGTTATGTTTTAGTTCTTTTTTTTTAGTTTAGCCATGTTTTCACTACTATTAACAAAATTTATACATATTTTTTTCTTACTTTAAAATACAGATAATGTAACTGGTAAAAAATAAAAAATAAATGTTGCAAATATGATTAATATTAAAAATATTACATGTTAAACCTTTAAAACGCTTTCCTGTAAAATTATAGTAAGTGCTGAGATTATACAGTTTTAATGCGAGAAGAAGACATTTCAATTTATCAATATGTCGTGCATTGCGTATCTCCAGGTCCACCGGCGCGCCAACGACTCGAACCGCGCGCGATCTCTGACGTACATATCGCCCAGCTCCGGCTCCATGCAAACCTAATTAATAAAGAAAAATAAAATATTTTTATTCCTACCTATGCTGATAGCCTTGAGAGGCTATTTTAGCTTCTCCTTGACGTGTAGCTCACGGGGCTCAAACCGTGAGTTTTGCTAACACTGGCCCTAGTAAGAGCCGTGCTTCGCAGAATCTACCAGCGGATCGGAAACGCGACCCACTGAGAAGATCAGGCGAGAAACTCAGTGGGCTGTGTCTATGGGTTAATTTACTATACTAGAATTATTTTGTCCGTGCAGTTTGGGTCATAAAACATAGGCCGGCGGTGAGCATGTTGCGCGGGCGCAACGCCATTATCGATAAAAACAAATGAGTCATCGAAGGCAGGTACACGGCGGCGGGGTGGTACACGAAGGGTGGTGAGACATTGTTATGTTAAGAGTTATTTGAACTTGCATGCAAATTATAGTACATTATGTCAAGAGAAATGTGTTTTTATGCATTCGTTCTCTGAATTTCTTTAGTAACACAATGGCTACTCCTTTGTTTTGTATCAAACGGCAGAATTTATTCAAAATAATATTGGCACGTGTTGTTATCAACGATGTGTTAAAAAATTTCACTGAAATAAGAATAGTTCCCGAAAAGTTACAAAGTGTTAATTTCTGCCGTTGTCGTTAACGCTAACGTGTTAACGCTCCTATTAGGGAGTGGGCTGCTCGAAGTGGTATTCAGAGGGCGACACCTTTTCGAGAGCACCGCTGTGCTTTTCGTGGGGTTGATGTCAATGCGCCACTTCCGGAACCACTGTCCCGTGGTGGCTACTGCGATCTGGAATCGCTGATGCAATAACGACTTCTTCCTACACGAGTAGTAGATAGGGACTTTTTGGCGGGAACACGAGGGGTGAAGTTGCGTGATTTGTTTTGTGTATTTTGTCTATTTAGTGTTTCTTCAGGTGTAAATGTGTAATAACGGTGGTTTATTAACTGTTTAATATCTGTGAAAGTGCACAAATGTGGGAAAATGAAACAAAGTCGCTGGATGTAACTTCTCGGGTTCCTACAAAAAGTCCACTGAAAAAAATCTCAGTAAATGACCACCATTTTACTCAGATTATATTTCATCCCATATCATCTCATTTCATTTCATTTCATCACAGTTGATTAATGTTTCAAATTAATCATCTTCATTTCATTTCACTCCATATTATAATTTTTCATAAAAATAAGAATATAAATTAAAATAAGACATGACTTAAAGGTCTTAGTTACCAGGACATAAAATCCCTTTAAAACAAAAGTAGTAGATAGCCGTGTCATCGGCGAAGAGCGCTAGATGGGTCTCCGGAGACCGAGGTATTATATCATTGATATACAAACTAAATAATAATGGGGATAAATAAGAGCGCGGAGCCTTGCGGGACTCCGGCAGTCAGATGACGGGGGTAGCTGCAGTTGAGACATGCAATACTTACGGCAGTGTAAGGGTCAGTGAGCAGGCTCTGTATGGAGATGAGCACTTTGCTGAGCGTGAGCGCGAGGGACCAGTTGTGGTGCACGGAGTCGATGCCGACGTCGCCGTGCCGCGACACGTTAGGGTGCAGGATGCGCGTCAGGAACCGGACCACGGGCGGACTCATCGGATACCTGCGTCGCGAGAGCGACTCACTTTCAACATCATAATCAAAGTGGGTGGCGCATTTACGTCGTAGATGTCTATAGGCTCCAGTAACCGCTTAACACCAGGTGGGCTGTGAGCTCGTCCAACCCTGTAAGCAAGTTTTTTTTTTAAATTATACTAACGAGTATGGCACTTGAATGTAGAGGTAGAAGACTCCGCCCTCATAGGGCGAGCCGACAGGCCCGGTAACGCTCGCCTGCCAGTGGCAGCACTTCGGGTCTAGCGGGGTCGCCGCTATGCCTTCCGGAGGATCGTTGCGTAGCATCTGCGAATCAAAAGAAAAATATTAACTTTAACCAAAAGTAAATTTGAAAACTTTTTAGATGAGTTCATTGTGTGCTCATATGCTTAATTATATATATAATCAGGTCAGTGGTCCCTGGTTACTGGTGGTAGGACCTCATGTGAGTCCGCGCGGGTAGGTACCACCACCCTGCCTATTTCTGCCGTGAAGCAGTAATGCGTTTCGGTTTGAAGGGTGGGGCAGCCGTCGCTACTATACTTGAGACCTTAGAACTTGTATCTCAAGGTGGGTGGCGCATTTACGTTGTGGATATCTATGGGCTCCAGTAACCACTTAACACCAGGTGGGCTGTGAGCTCGTCCACCCATCTAAGCAATAAAATAAAAAAAACTATACGCCTCGTTGTGATAGCTGTAAGTTTCTGTAACACAACTAAAAGTAGCTCACTTGTCATTCAGCCATCTTAAACATCTTTTCTTACTAAAGTTATTTATTTTAATCGTTTCCTTTCATTTTAGCCGTACGCGATCGAGCATTCCATTCTATATATATCGATATCCATTCGATATGCATTCCAAAATGCATATCTTTCTTGAATGAACTTTTTGACATGAGAAATCCGGGCAGCGGTCTGTCTATGGTGCTGATATTGCCGATGTCTATGAGCATCTTTAACCACTTATTAATTGTGCAAATTGACCTGAATGGTACGCATTGAATGGTAGGCAGCTGCTTGTTTCTGCCCCTGGCATTGCTGATGTCCATAAGCGACGGTAACCACTTAAGCTGTATGCTCGTGTAACTAGAAAGGCAATAAAAAACCCGAATTAAATTTGACTGTCTATTAGAACTGCATTCAAAGATGACATGGATTTTTTTTTTATTGCTTAGATGGGTGGACGAGCTCACATCCCACCTGGTGTTAAGTGGTTACTGGAGCCCATAGACACTACAACGCAAATGCGCCATCCATCTTGAGATATAAGTTCTAAGGTCTCAGTATAGTTACAACGGCTACCCCACCCTTCAAACCGAAACGCATTACTGCTTCACGGCAGAAATAGGCGGGGTAGTGGTACCTACCCGTACGGACTCCCAAAAGGCCTTACCACCAGTGATTACGCAAATTATAATTTTGCGGGTTTGATTTTTATTACACGATGTTATTCCTTCACCGTGGAAGTCAATCGTGAACATTTGTTGAGTACGTATTTCATTAGAAAAATTGGTACCCGCCCGCGGGATTCGAACACCGGTGCATCGCTACACACGAATTCACCGGACGTCTTATCCTTTAGGCCACGACGACTTCGAGTTTGTGTTTATAATTGTAAATTTGAATGCTGTTCTAATTACTACAATAATAATATAAAGTGATGAAAAGTATTAAATGATGCCTGTAAAGTTTATAAATAAATCATTACATATATAAACAATCAGGACATAGGACCGTTTGCATTAACAGAAAAACTGCCTTAAATACTCAGTATGAAGACTTAATGAAAACGACAGAAGGTAACCGACTCCATACAACTCTATTCCAGACAATAGCAGAGCAAGTATCATCTACTATGGCTAAAATAACATAATCACATTAATAGAATTTCAATTGAAACATGACTAAAACATTTTTCTGTCTCAATTTTGAAATCAGAGATTTAAATTTTTATTATAGTTCGAATTAGCTGTCTACTCCCATCTCAGTCTTTCTATATAATCAAATAAGTCTTTGGGTAAAATTCAGTCACGCTTGACCAAAGTATGTATTTTCTGCTCTTGATTATCAAAAAAATCCTTCTCTGCTGACATCTAACATAATGGGGTAAAATGCATTTTAACAACATAAAATTACTTTTAAGCCGACTTAACCTAATAGGTTGGCTCTAATAAAGAATAAAAAACAAAAAACTTGTAATATTTAGTAGAATAATTTTTTTTTTAGAAAATTATAATATAAAAAAATTAATAAAAAATTAGAATAAAATAAACGTTTATTATAATTATTTATATATGTACCTTGAGTTCTATCCTAAGCCTGTTTCTCCTCCAAGCGTTCTCCTCTCCGGCCGGCTGAGCTTGTACACACATTTGCACCAGACAGTTACGGCAGAAACAGGACTCCACTAGAGATTGATATTTCTAAAAAATATATAAAAGTTTAGTAAACTGACACTATTTATTCACATTTCCATATCAAAAACTACAAATTAAGATTCAAGATTCTATTTTGCAGCAGTAATGTATTTTAAAAAAAAAAGTAGGACACAATTCATTTTAGAAAGTGTACTTACTAATCCATAGTACAATAAAAGTCAGAACTTATTTTAAAAATCAACAAACTAAACTTGTCAAAGTATTTTAATCAAGTAGAGATTGACAAAAATTTGAACTGAAACTACATTTCACCCATTTATATATTTCATTAATCCATACATAATTGAGTTATCTATACCAATATCTATTCAATATCTATACCAATATTATAAAGAGGAAAGATTTGATTGTTTGAAGGCTCCGAAACTACTCAACCGATTTTAAAAATACTTTCACTGTTTGGAAGCTACACTATTTCCGAGTGACATAGGCTATAATCTTTTTTGAAAAAAATTAAGGATCCTTACTAAAACTCCAATAATGTAACCTAAGGTGTAAAAAAATTACCTAAAATATTCTTTAAATCGCGCGCCCTGCGAAAACTATTGATGATAGAATAAAATAATGTATTACGACTTTGTAGAACACATTATTATTTACAAAAAGTGTCGCGACAGCATATGTCTAACTATTATAGTTATGCCGCAATAAGTGTGCTTTTATTTAAAAAAATAAAACAACGACAAATATAGTTGAAATTTTTGTTAAAGTCCCGAGCGGAGCCGGAGCGGGCCATTACTATTAAATAAACTTATTTTATGGTAAACTTAATTTTTTACAATTAAGCTTAGAATAAATATTTATTATTATTATCTTCATTACCTTGTGCCAGTCGGTGTGCGTGGCGAGTGGACGATAGAGAGGCCAACGAGCGGCCGCGAAGTCCTCCCACCGTCCTGGACACACCCGGGCTCGTACCAGCCTCCACCATCGCGTGCACACACAAGAACAGGCGCATAGCGACAAATCGTCCAGGTAACTGAAGATGCACAACAACACTGAAAACAATAATAAATACGAATGTAGGAACATGGCTAGCTGGCAATGAATAGCATGATGCCTTCCTGTGGCCGTCGTAAGAGTGGACTAAGGGACGTCGTAAGAGTGGACTAAGGGACGTCGTAAAAGTCGACTAAGGGGCGTCGTAAAAGTCGACTAAGAAGCGTCGTAAAAATAGACTAAGGAATTCACCGGAGAATGGGCAACGGAATTCCAATTATACCAGCATACAGCCATGGCCGGCCGTTATTGACTGGTGGCAGAGCGTGTTCTAAGCCCATATGGGAAAAACACCATGCGCTGCCTGAATATACTTGGCCTCAAGAAACATCAAAAAGCATGAGGTCGTTCACACGTCTACTCGATGTTCAAATGCCTCTTTGTGTGTGTTTTTAGCCATATCACAAGAGAAAGTTTTGAAATCGTCGTGGCCTAAAGGATAAGACGCCCGTGCAATCGTATCTAGCGATGCACCGGTGCACGAATCCCGCAGGCGGGTACCAATTTTTCTAATGAAATACGTACTAAACAATTGTTCACGATTGACTTCCAGGGTGAAAGAATAACATCGTGTAATAAAAATCAAACCTGCAAAATTATAATTTGCGTAATTACTTATGGTGGGGCGTATTGTAAGACCCCATGGGTAGCTACCACCACTCTGCCTATTTCTGCAGTGAAGTATGGCATTTCGGTTTGAAGGATGGGGCAGCCATTGTACTGTAAAACCGTGACATAGAACTCTTGTTGCAAGGTGGGTGGCGGCATTTTCGTTGTAGATGTCTATGGGATCCCGTGACCACTTAACATCAGTTGGGCCGTAAGCTCGTCCACCCATCAAAGTTCTAAAAAAAAAGAAACTATTGGGTTGAAATGGCTAACATACCTTCTGATGGTAAATGTTCAACTAGTCCTGGAGCTAAATTATCAGGTGGCCGTGGTGTTGAAAGGGCGTGTAAAGATCGTGCAAGACTCGGAATTGGTGGAGGAGGCGGTGGGGGTGCTTGCCCCGCACGGTCTGACATTGAACTGCTACTGCTTGCACCCGGGCCTGAGTTGCTAGCCCTGCTTACCTCATCTTCAGGACTCGTCTCACTGTCTAACGAGTTCTAAAAAAATACCTTCTTTTTACTATATAAAATATTTTATGATAAAATGATATTACACTAATCAACTTAATAACAAACTATGCTATTTTATTAGTATAATTAAAGATTAATTTCCGAAAAAATAACTATTAGATTGTTCTCTTGGTAGGGCACATGGTAGCTAGCATCATCAGAGAACAAAACAGTACTCAACAAATGTTCACGATTGACTTCCACAGTGAAGGAATAATATCGTGTAATAAAAATCAAACCCGCAAAATTATAACTTGCGTAATTACTCTTGTGAGTCCGCACGGGTAGATACCACTGCCCTGCCTATTTCTACCATGGAGCAGTAATGCGTTTCGGTCTGAAGGGTAGAGCAGCCGTTGTAACTATACTGAGATCTTAGAATTTATATCTCAAGGTGGGTGGCGCATTTACCTTGTGGATGTCTATGGGCTCCAGTAACCACTTAGCACCAGGTGAGCTGCAAACTCGTCTACCCATCTAAGCAATAAAAAAAAGTTCTGGCTAAAGACACATCAACCGCTGTAACTATAAAATCTAAGTTTTTAACTAGATGTGGTTTATAGCCCTAAATTTTAAAATTTTAATTTTTATCCATCTGTCAGCATTGGATGTTGTAGTTGCTGATGTTCCTATCACAATGTTAGTGCCATTAACAGTTGAAAGACAGAAATCAAAGTCACACCTAAAAATTTTAATTACAGATAAATCAGAGAGCAAAGGCTCACTTTTATTTAATTTCATTTACTTACCCTATAATACCACCAAGCTGGTAATGTACATGTTCTATGTAACCTCCTTTCAGAGCTGTAGTTGAGATCCGAAGGTTCATCATTGCCAGAATCACCATCATCTGTTTTTTCAGTACAGAAGTAGGAAGTTGGAAGGTATGATGGAAAATCAGGGAATAGAAAAGCATGGCAAGTGACGCAGACTGGTTCCCCAAAACTAGGGCCATAATATCCATTACAGACATGACATGTTGAATTCTGAAAAACATGTAATATGTATGAACATAAGTTATAACTATTGATGCTTGAATGGAATTTTTTTAAATATTTTCAAATTTCGATCAAGCATGTATTTTTCAAATACTGATTAAAACAAATGTACTATTGTTTTGTCCCAAACCCTCATTGTAGGTGTTAGGATGGCATCAAGGAAATAATGAAATTATGTCTAGCAATATATTTAAAACATGCCAACAAGCAAACAAACAAATCTCAATTTTTTTACTATGGCAAATTAAAAAAATCATTGATTTCTATTTGTGGTCTTGTCTTAATATTTTTTAGTTAATAACAATGTGCAATACAATAGACATGAAATTATAAGGGTTTGTCCTCACCCTTGAACCCTCTAATTATTGCAAAGATTTTCTAGAAAACTAGAATTCCTATTTTCTTCTCAATTTAACCTGGTCCTGAAGAGGCCACTTGAAAACTTTTGCAATGGTAGAAAATTAGAGAAACCATTTTTCTTAGTTGTCCAGTGAAGTTTGCTTTTATTTCAATTAGTATTACAATGTTGAAAAATCAAGTAGAATATAAAATGTACCAGGGTGTAAAGTTTATTTTTATTGTAGTAACTGTGTTTACTGTAAAAACCTAATGTTATATTTAAGAAATCAGTATTTTACTCACATCATACTCAAAATCAAATGGTTGTTCATATGAAGTCACTAGTTTGTCACAGTTATCTTCTAACTTCTTTATATAGTCAATGAATTCCGGACCTATAGCAGTCATTGCTCCCACTTGATGATGTATTAATTTTACACTTGAACTTTTGCAGTTTTACAGGCTTCGCAGGCAGGATTTTATTTAGGTATTTATATAATAGAAATCCTAAATTCAGTTCCCTTACTGTTTAATCATAAAAATAAATTATAGTGTTTATCTGTGTTTTTCTCACGTTTTTCTTCTTCTTCATTTTTTGTCTCCGGCACGGTTTGTGCATTAGCCAGTGTCAAGTATTATGATTTCTATAATTCGCCATTTTAATTATTTACAGATTATGAATATTAAAAAACGAAGGAAACTGTCCATGTTGGCCATTATTAATATCAGTGTAAGTATGAATTAAATTAGCAGCGTAGGACGGTATAGCTAAATTAGGCTGAGAAAGTAATTTGATTAATGTAGTAATTAACTCTGCAAATATATGAAGTGAAATGAAATGAATGTTTATATCAAACGATTGTCTTCTCGTCAGTAAAGACAATGACTTCTCATCTAAAAACGGTCAGAGCAACATCTAAGAGTTTTATAACGATAATAATTTTATAATGGTGTACTTAACAGTGTTCAAAGTATTTGCAATATAATTATAATTAAGCAGTGCGTTTTTAAATAGCCTCTCATCAGCCTACAGAACCCAATCCCAAATCAAATTTAACCGTCCAACAAAGTTGATTAATATTACGAAACTTGGTATGAAATAAAATGAAATGAGATGAGATGGGGATGAAATCTAATCTGGATAAAATGGTGGTAATTTACTGAGACTTCCTCAGTGGACTTTTTGGAGGATCCCAAGAAGTTACGTCCAGCGGCTTGGTTTCATTTTCCCAGATTTGGGCACTTTCACAGATACTAAACAATTAATAAACCACCGTTATTACACATTTAAACCTGAAGAAACACTAAATAGACAAAATAAAACACTTAATCGATCAATACCGCTATATACGGGAGCTCTCTTCTTCGACGTGGCAAAAGCGTTCGACCAAGTCTGGCACAATGGTTTGATTTTGAAACTATTGCTCGGGATTTCTGGACTGAAGTCCCGCAGGGCTCCGTCCTCTCGCCGCTTCTATTTAATTTAGTTTATTCGTCAAAGATATTGCCCGGTCGCCGCCAACCTTACGATTTAGCTTTCTTCGCCGACGACACGGCTGTTTGCTATTCGAGTAGAAACAAGTCCCTAATCGCGAGGAAACGCGTCGTTCCGAAAACGGTGCATTGACATCAACCCAACGAAAAGCACTGCGGTGCTATTTCAAAGGGGAAATTCCACGCAGATTTCCTCCCGAATTAGGAGGAGGAATCTCACACCCCCGATCACCCTCTTCGGCCAACTCATACCCAGGGCCAGGAAGGTCAATCGAATGGCTGTCACCCTGGATGCATCCATGACATTTCGCCCACATATAAAATCAGTCCGCGACCGTGCCGCGTTTATTCTCGGCAGGCTCTACCCCATTGTCTGTAAACCGAGTAAAATGTCCCTTCGGAAAAAGGTGACACTTTAGAAAAATTGCTTATAGCCTGTCATGACTTACGCGACTGTGGTGTTCGCTCACGCGACCCACACACACACAGACACCCTCCAATACCTACAATCTCGTTTTTGCAGATTAGCCGTCGGAGCTCCGTGATTCGTGAAGAACGTCGACTTACAAGACGACCTCGTGCTCAACTTATTGCTTAGATGGGTGGACGAATTCACAGCTCACCTGGTGTTAAGTGGTTACTGGAGCCCATAGACATCTACAACGTAAATGTGCCACTTACCTTGAGACAAAAGTTCTAAGGTCTCAGTATAGTTACAACGGCTACCCCACCCTTCACGGCAGAAATAGGCGGGGTGGTGGTACCTACCCGTGCGGACTCACAAGAGGTCCTACCGCCAGTAAATGAATCAAATAGAATAATTATAATTATGGTTACCTTTGTTGATAAACGTAATTTAAGACATGTTTTTGATCAGTACAATTGTAGGGCAACCGCTGATTCATCGCTAATATCAACGGTCTAGTATAGTGGGCATGTGTACCGAATGCAATGAAGACCATAGTTTGACCATAGCAGTGGTTGGCAAAACGCGGCTCGCGAGCCACTTGCGGTTCTTCCGTGAAATATTTAGTTCCAGCAAGGAATATTACAGTCTTACCTTGAAAAGAAGAGTACCTATTTTTGAAACATAAGGCCATACTTAATGTGTTAAAAAATGGCCCTAAATTTTGAAATTTAGAAAATTTCAATTGTCTTATCTATAGTTGGTATTTTGGTTGACAAAATTGCCGACCGTTGGTTTATAGTATTAAGACAGTTGAGGGGTAGCAAATAGTTGTATACCCATGTTGAAGAATCGACCTATACGATAATACATGTTTTAGATTGAACCAGGCTTTTATAAATAAAACAACAGGCTTTTCTGCTTAATATTATCCTTATTGTTATGTTTCAGGTTTTTTGTTTTTTTTTTCTGTTACGCATTATATACTTGTTTTTTTTTCGTTAAACAAATTATGCAAAATGTTTTTCAACATTTCGTGTTTCCAATTTCAAATTATATTTTCACACGACAGAATATATTTTCATTTAACTTATTCAAGATACCGACGATTCGATTTTAATTTCTGGATAAATTATTATTTCGTAATTTCATAAAGAACTACTAATAATATGAATATCGTTCTGGGCTCTGCTTGTGTATCATAAAGTGATAAGTCTGATTCAAAAGGCACTTACTTAGTGTTTTTATGTATTGCAATTTGCCTAGAATATAAGAAAACTTGACACTATTTTACTTCATTTTGTAGGCTATATTACTTGTTAAGCTATGTATTGATCGTGAGAACTCTTTTAGAACTTTGTATATATAATTCCGTTTCTTGATTCGAACGAAGCTCACAATAAATAATTAAATGATAAAAATACTTAGCAGACACGTCGACAGTGTTAGAATGTAGTTCTTCGATACGGACCAATGTATTTCATCAATATATCCGGAAGTACATAACTTAAATGTATATTAAATAAAGTAGATTTTAAAAAAACACAAAAACTTCTATATTGCTGACAGAATAGATAAACTCTCAGCCGCAGTATAAAATCTGGTTTAGATTTACTTTTTGATATAAAGTGTTATAATACTTATTTCACTTGCGTATAGAAAACAGAATACACAGCACTGCGGGAAAGACGATACACATTAATTAAAAAACTAAAAATAATAACTCGTTGGGAAATGATAAGTTAATAAGGATTATTTCTCATTAATTTATCTAATGAGGTACTCGAGGTACATATTTACCAAAATCACACAGAACCTATTCACTGCGTAATCGCATCGCTACGTTTAACTCTTTAGGCTAGGCATCTAGAACACAAGATGTAAGGAACTTATCAGTTACACACTTTTTATAATGTCACAAGCCTGATAATTTCCAATATTACAACTTATTTATTATATTACTTAAAACTAACAGTTTTTTTTTTGCTTCCATTGATCTTATACAATAAATAAAATCAACTTCTAAATAAAACCAATCGTTGACAATACAACATTAGAATCTTGATAAAAATTTACAAATTCACGCGATTTTTTATTTAAAAAAAAAAAAGATATTTCTTACCTACACAACACGTTAATTCAAATGCAGGGACACACTGCGGTGTTTTTGTTTGGACACACCAATGTTAGACATAGATAGCTACATAGGCGATCACATTACTGTCTTATGACGTCACTCGACAGTGAATTACGGAATAGTGAGCGTTATCGTCCTGGGTAGTAAGTTCGGGCGGCGTCGCACTGTCGCGCTATGCTACAGTTAGATATACGCGCGCCACTTCACTAATGGGTTAACGAGGGCCATGGCCGGGGGGGCGGACCCCACTACCACACTCAGTACGGGGAGTAGTACGAGCCGCGCTTGAAGACTCTGCAAATAAGCCACGCGGTTAATTCGCTGAACTATCTCGCTAGCAGTTCATATTGCATCCTCTGATTTATATTTCGAAGCCATTCACAAAACATTCACTTCCGTATTCATTTCTTAATGTTAAATGTGAAAATTTGAAACATGGTATAAATTTCTTTTTGTAATATTATAATAAAATAGAACAATAGATACATTCGGGCATGCATGAATAGCGTGTATGCCCAGGCATGTAGTCATTTTTTTGCCGAAAAATTTGTCTGGAACTATCAACCTTACCTCTTTCACACAAACCACCACCCAAGTTTTTTTTTTTTCATTAATCGTAGCTAAGCGATTCAAACTCAAAACACCCGCAGTCATTACGATATTTCATGTCTACGTGCCTGTTTCTACAAAATAATAAAAGGAAGAGGTAGCACTAAAAATGCAAATTACAATTATAAACTTTATTGTAAACATGTACTTAAATATAAAAATATGTACTCAAATTAAACAACCAGTTGCGACGCAAATAAATATTTTCGCTAATGTAAAACAAAACATTTTGCAAGCCACTGTATTACGAAATTAAAAAGAATCGCATGCTAAAATAAATTGAACATGCTGTCGGGAATAAAAAAAAAATACAATTCAGTTGGTAAGCTTCTCAGAAGAAAAAAATTACAATACAATTTAACGTTTCTGTTTGTAGCAGCGATTTCACCACTTTGCAACTTGCAACAGAATCCCAATCAAACGGACATTTTCATTTCATTTTCATTTCATACATATATTTATGTACATCACCAAACTTGACATTATAATATAGTAACATTTTTTTCTCTTTAGTTAAAAATTAGTACGTTTACATGACACCTCGAATCCACCAAGGTCTCGAACGCTGAACGATATGTTTAACACAGTGAGAACCAAAGGTACGCGCGTCCATTGGCCCGCGCCGGACGCACCGCACGCAACGGATTTTATTTTGGTTTGCTGCGTCCACTATCCGCGCCGCCCGCATCGAACGCCGGCAGGGGGTCGGCAACGCGGCGCCCCCGATCGATTTTAATGCGCCCTCGCCGGACTAATGTAAATGTATGATAGCCAGAGCGATTTACTTACTCTTATCAAACGGCGATATACAGCAAGTATTCAGTTGAGTTTAGGAGTGTGCTAACCTTGAGCGTATCTAATAACACGCACGTATTTTTTGTTACTGTGTGTGATCGTATTTCGAATAGACCACGGGTTGACAAAATCTGTTTTTTTTAATGCCTATTTATACCTGTTGATTATCTGTAAAATATGCGCCCTCGGTGATTTTCAAATTTAGTATTTGCGCCCTTAAGGAAAAACAGATTGCCGACCCCTGAACGCCGGCATTTATGAGCAAAAACTACAAAATAAAATCCGTTGCGTGCGGTGCGTCCGGCGCTGGTCAATGGACGCGTACCTCAAGATGACGTCTGTTGCAAGAGGGGCGCGGTGTGCGTGTGCGGGGGTGTGCGGTCGCGCGCGCGTTGTTCAGTAGGGAACGTACCTGCCGCGTCGCGGGGGCCGGAAGCCCGTGTAGTAGGGCGCGAGGCCGCCGCGGTAGCCGCGCCCGCGCCCGCGCATCGTGCGCGGCGGGCGGTTCGTCGACGACAAGCCCGGCTTGTTCGTACGCTTCGGCATCACCTGACAACGTTCATAATCTGCTAATTAAAACACTTCGCACCGACTGTCTTCACATTAACTGTTTTAGTACTGAGCCTATTTTCACATATTTTGCACAAATTGCCAAAGGATTTTTGAATTTATTATGTAAAACAAACTTTAAAAAATATGTTAACAATTGACAGCCGGACGGTTACGGCTAGTATACCCTATAAACTACCTGTAATGAATCTAACCAATACCACCCAATAAACCTTATGATCAAACAATAGTCGATATTACGACGCTCACACTTTATATGCATTACGCTCGACTAGAGAGTCGACATCGTCGGTTCACACTCAAAGATTTATTATGAGATTGACAAATTGTTACTTTAATTATCATTAAACATGGTCATCGATGACAAATTTTTGTCATTTTGAAAATGACAAAAATTTGTCCTCATCACATACTCCAAACATGTATAGCATGTGAATGAATATGTCCATTATGCTTTATGAATTTATTTGTACAATATCTTTACTATTGTTTGACAGCCATGTAGGTCATGTGCCCTAAATTCTGTTACCAAGTGCCTGGATTCCTAAAATTGCGCTCTTTTATTTGTATGTTTTAGTATTTTAGTCTTTTAGAAATAGACTCATTCTCAGTATCTTCAGATTCTGCTTGTCCAGAGTCTACTATGTATTCCGGCGCCTTAGTAACAGAAATCGACATAATTACTTATGTGCGCCATGAAGAGCACCTACATAACAGTCAAAGTATTAATCTGTAGAATATGAAATAAGCTTGATACCTTTGGATAATATAAGGAAAGTTCTAGTTCATTTTTTAGTTAAAATCACAAAATATACCTTTATTTGCCTTCCTCTAAATAATGATTCATCCATAGCCATTGCAGTCTGGACACTATCCTTGTCGCCAAATTCGATGTAGGCAAAACCTTTTGGGTGGCCATCATACTTATTGCATAATATTGTAACCCTGAAAATAAACAATAAAAAATGTATCTTTGTCATTTATTAATGTAACGATTTTTTTTTTTGAGGATATCAGAATTATCAACCCCAATTCAGCAATATAACAAAACGCTAGTAACTGTATTGATCAACACCAAAGTTTAACAGTAAAATTCCATGAACTTTAGAAGCCAGGCTAGGCTTTGCAATTATAGGTTCAGTATCAGTACAAGTCAATTAATAAAAAAACCAATCCACACCTGGCTGTTCCAGAGAAACCCAACTCAGCAACAGCCTATGACAATTCATTAAAAATAATGTTTCTTAATTACCTACTATGTTTCTGATGACAATAGATTATAAAATAAACTACAAATTTTCTAATGTTGAAAAAAAAAAAAACTTTTGTCACCTATGCTGGTAACCTCGAAGGGCTATGGTTACACCAGCTTCGCCGAACAGGGAATTGGTTGGAGATTCGCACACTAGAAACAAAAGAATTTTACCTGTTAATAGATCCACAACCATGAAAGTGCTGCTCCAGCTCCTCAGCCGTGGCTCCATAATCAACATTACCAACATATACTGATCTATTGTCTGCTTCTATTTTTTCTTCGATAGACATGTTTAATGGACTGGCTGTGGAACCAAAATGAGGATTTCAATACTTTTAACTTACTTCATTGCATTTATTGATATTTAGTTTATTTTTAATAACATTAGAGTACAGAATGTGTACATTGTCTGTCTCGATTACGCTTCGCTGTGATACGCGAAATATTATCTGTAATACACAATTTGTTGAAATTACTCGCGTCCTAGGTACGTATAATACGTACATACATTGATAATACTAGAAAGTCGTCGTGGCCTAACAGATAAGACGTCCGATGTATTCGTGTTGAGCGATGCACCGGTGTTCGAATCTCAGGCGGGTACCAATTTTTCTAATGAAATACGTACTCAACAAATGTTCACGATTGACTTCCACGGTGAAGGAATAATATCGTGTAATAAAAATCAAACCCGCAAAATTATAATTTACGTAATTACTGGTAGTAGAACCTCTTGTGAGTCGCGCGGGTGGGTACCACCGCCCTGCCTATTTCTGCCGTGAAGCAGTAATGCGTTTCGGTTTGAAGGGTAGGGCAGCCGTTGTAACTATACTTGAGACCTTAGAACTTATATCTCAAGGTGGGTGGCGCATTTACGTTGTCTATGGGTTCCAGTAACTACTTAACACCAGGTGGGCTGTGAGCTCGTCCACCCATTTAAGCAATAAGGAAAAAAAAAACAAAAAAAAGTTCTTGCAAATGTCAAAACAAAATACTCTCTTAAAAATACCATATTCAGTCATTCCAAGGTTACAAAATAAAACAACTTGTGTTGATTGTGCAAATGTTAGGCGGTTTTTAGAAATTCCGCTGATCAGTTTTATACGCAAAATTTGGTCAAAATGACCTGATCCGAAACAAATTGCAAATTTTTGTTCCTATTTTGATTTTAATTATGGTTCATTGAGCTAAACGATACATATTTCGTTGTTCTTTAAAGGGATTCATTTCGATGAAACTTTTTTATGTTTACCACACACTATTTAGCCTACTAGGCTATTCAAAGTATGCCGCCCCTACCGATCTTTATTAGATACCCAAGTTTACAATAATATTAATTATATTTCTTTTATTAAAACGAACTTAGGTAGGAACGACGGTCATATCACTATCGCAATAACGAGACAATGGAAATTATAGAGAAAAAAAAAACTATTTGTAGTAAAACATAATATGACATTTTTATCTTAGTTGTGTAAAACCAAAAACATATTTTAGGTATATAAACATGAGTCTTTAAATTTCTGTAGATATTGAAAAAAATCAATGGTCGACATTTAATATTTTAGGCCTTGATTAGATTAAAAAAAAAAAAGGTATTGTGGTGCTAGTTTCTCGATTACAATAAAATCTCATTTTTTTTTCTCAGAATAGTGCATTATTCAAAAACACTTGATACGGTCAATAATAAGAACATCAATAAAATTGTGCTCAAGTTTTTTTTTTTGTGACCTGGCTCACGTTGGTCTATACTAAAAATAGTCTGCTTGCCTGTTAGTTTCCGAAGAATACTTACTTAGTCCTGGTGGGCTTCCCATACTCATTTGCTTGTCAACTTCAGTCTGCATTTGTTTCAGTTTCTCAGCTTCTTCTTCCATCTCCCGCACTCGGGCCTTGATAGCTGCAAGGTCAGGAGCTTCTCCGCCGGCCGCTTCATCTCCGCCCTTTAAGACAATAGGGTCTAATAAAATATAACATAATAAATTTTTTTACATATCAAGTGTGAGTAAGTGATTCCCAAGATCGAAGCCAGATTGAGCCAGAACACACAAGTTTATTTATTTATTTTAATATTTATTTCTGCCATATACTCAATTTAAAGATGGCAACTGACTAGCATCATTCATTGTTACACTTTACAATGTGCATGCTCTTGTATGGCTGGGTAGAATCACAAGGACCAACTAATGAACCTGATTTTGACAATTATTATTTTGATGTTGACTGTATGAAAATTTTATAAATTAAGTTTACTATTATAAGAAATTAAAGTTTTCCAGAATCTATTTTCATATTAATAATAAATAATGTCCGTGACATAAAATCACACTCCAAATGACCACCACAGGAGGAAGTTTTTATTTGAAATTTGATTTATTGATTAAAACTAAAAGGAAAATTAATTGTAAACTTTGCATGAAAAATTAGGGATCAAAGAACACTTTGAGAGGTAGTTATAATGAAAATTCTATTGAAATTCTATGCAATATAGTTAATACAACAAACATTCAATTCTTAATTTTATGTACATCTAATTAATTGCTATTTTAAAACCAACAACATAAAACTATTATAACAAAATATAAAATCATGCTAACGAATTTTGTGAGTTATTTTTACAGTAACAAACAATATACAGTAGAATCCGGATATAACGACTTTCAAGGGACCGGCAAAACTATGTCGTACTAACCGAATGACGTACAAAACGGCAGAATTATTTCTTAAGTACATATGTTAAGTACATATATTTATCCAACTCATCGGTGTAATATTACACTTTATTTTTCAATTGTAAAACACTTTCGCTTCATAGAACTCATTTTGTCGAGCTTTAAGAACTTGTCATAACAAGTGACAAGCACTAACTGTGATTCACGCGCCAATAAAGGGGGCGGAGTGAAGTTGGGGCGCCGAAGTATTGGTAGGTTATGTAAATAAAACATTGTGCGTCGTTTTAACCGGACGTATCATCATAATATTCATAATTAAGGGTCGCTATAAGCAGTTGGTCGCTTAAAACGGAGTCGCACTAAACGGTTATATTTTCTCAGTACCTAACTATGAAACCTAACTTGAGTAATCATTATCGTCGTTAAAAGCGGTTAGTCGTTATAAGCGAAGTCGNGTCGTTTTAACCGGACGTATCATCATAATATTCATAATTAAGGGTCGCTATAAGCAGTTGGTCGCTTAAAACGGAGTCGCACTAAACGGTTATATTTTCTCAGTACCTAACTATGAAACCTAACTTGAGTAATCATTATCGTCGTTAAAAGCGGTTAGTCGTTATAAGCGAAGTCGTTGTATATGAATTCTACTGTATAAACAAATAGGCAGATCACACGAGACAGGATAATACAACTGCTACACAAGAATGTAATGGTTACTTTTTGAAGTATAAAACAACATAATAATGTTACTACATTGTTTAAAAACACTACGCACACTACCACCAGTATGATAAGTGCTTAAAGTGAAATAAATAAATAATGTAATTCAATTCACTCTTCAAAATTTAGGTTGATTTTTTTGTTTCAATATTGATATTTAGAATACAAAAAAACATTGTCTATTTTTTAGTGATAGCAATTAAGCTAGTCAATAACATAATATTACTTCTTGTTCTTATGTGCTCAAGAAAATGGTTTAGCAAACGGAGGAAAAAATTGTACCAACTATTTCGTTTTGGCCTAAAGTTATAGATATTTCAATAAAAATATGTGTTAATGTAATGTCTTGATTTATCAATCAGCAAAAAAGAATAATACTTTGAATACCATATCAATAATCATGTAATTTTTAATACTAATTAAAATATTGACAATATGTATTGTCAAAGAAAGCTGAGAACTATTTATTCTACTGAACAGACATACTACATTGCAATTATCATATGGTCCGACAAGCCATGCAGTAGTATGAAATAGGAAATAAACTTTTGATTTTTCTGTTTTCCAAACATGCAGAACTAAAAGTTCTTTAAACAAATAAAATACATTGTCTATCTTGCAATATTTTACTCGGCTTAGAAAATGTGAACCATGCCAAGTTTTATTTTTGTGTAAGGCATAGTTGAACTTTCATTCCAGCTTACAATCACAATCGGTACACTATGTATTTTAATATAGAAATATAGTTTCCATGAAAAAAGTCCACAGAATAATGATTCCAAAATTGATTTAGAACATTCTTACAAAATTTACTAATATTCCAGTATTAGATTACATTTAAAATGGTATTTTTCCAATTTACATATGTATTTCAAAAACATCAAAAACACAAGAGTAGAGCTATAAAATGCTGCTTGGATATTTTGAAGTAGTTTTACACAGGATGCATAACATTGCTATGTATAACAAACATGCTGCAACACAACTACATCAAAAATTACATTAGCCAACATAAATACAGATTTTTCAAAATTATTGATTATCTCACATTTAACATTTAAGTTGTATAAATTGAAGCAAGATACCTTATATACTGGTCTTGATATCCAACCGTGTTACATTTAACAATTAATATGAGTTTTAATAAATTTCATATATAAAGTTTTATTAGTGCTTATTATGTGATTTATTTGTGGTCTTAAATAGGCAGAAATCCAATATTAGTAATTTAATAGGTGACACTATTCACGGTTATTTTGGTAATGATGCGATATAAGTTCTGTGTTAATTGTGAAGACTAACAACCAAGTAAACAGGTTCATATTGAACAAACACATGAAAAATGAAGCAATAGTGGGGTCTATATATGTTGAGATTCGTGGTGTTTTAACTGTTTATAGTTAAAATAATAAGGAAATAATAATAAATAAGGAATATTTAAAACAATATCACTTACTCCGAGACTATTGTCGGTCATATTCATTGAGCCGTTAGTTCCTTCCAAATGATTGTTGTCAATCGAGTCTAAAAAATCATCATTTTCTGCCATTTCCACCGAGCGTCGAAATCATGAATTATATATTTCGAGATCACTTTACTTCTCTGAAACTAAAACCCTAAGTGTATAACCGAAATCGTATACAGTAACGCATATTTTCTTCATCGTAAATAAATTGCCATAGTAGCAAAGTATCTGACGTACCGGTAACCAAATCCACTATGAAATCGTTGACCTACTCAGGTAATACAGTTCATAACAACAAATAGGATAGTTTTCAAATTACAGTCAGTATTCGAATTACATAAAATCACAATTTGATGCAAGATATTTACGGATTCATTCTAAAATGCTAATGTATAGCTATTCGGTTAGATCCAAACATTAAACAATTTGCATGAAATGTCATTAGACCGTATGTCAAATATCATTGTTTGCTTGATTCGTTTATTAGATTGACAACGAAAACATAGCACATACGGCCAGCTTTCTAGAAAATGACGAAAACCATGCCTTTTGTCAAGTGTGAAAAATGAAATCGAAATTACTATAAAAATATAATTAATTATGAAATGAAACAAAACGAGGTAAAATAAGATATTCTAAGATAGCCTCTCAGTAAAAGCATGCTAATTTACCGAGTTCAATGGAGTTTCAAGAAAAAACCCTAGTTTTTTTTTCCACCTATGCTGATGGCCTTGAGAGGCTAGTTCAACTCACGGAGCTCAAGTCGGGAGTGTTGCTAACACTGCCTCTAGTAAGAGCAGTGCTTCGCGGAATCTACCCCCGGATCGGAAACGCAAGCCACTGAGAAGATCTGGCAAGAAACTCAGTTGGCTGTGTCTTTGGGCTAAGTTACTGGCTGAGCCCTTCGTTACAAGCGAGGGGTTCGACGAGGACGGTGACCGGTGCTTGTAGTACCTAAGAGCACCGTTAATGGATCGGGAGGATCACTAATGACGTGAAACCCTAGTACTCTCTCGAAAATGCTCTCGTTATTTAAAAAGTTATATACAATCTTAGATAGTACAAGTTTTAAGCAATTTACGAACTTAGTATTGGCCCTAGTATTCATTGCTGCGAAGGTTTTGGCAAAGTTTTACGACCGGCTGCCTATCTGACGTCAACCCTCTTTGGGAACGCCTTTGTTGGTAGATTGCCCGCTACCAGTCGGGTAAGGCGCTGTATATTTGCGCTTAAATCCTTCTGTCGCCTTTTACGATACTCCTGGGAAGATAAGCTGGCGGCTCTCTTCGATCAACAATTGTTGATTGTTATTTTGATTTATATTTCTTATATTTATGAAAAATGATAATATGGAGTGAAATGAAACGAAGGTGATTAATTTGAGACATTAATCAACTGGGATGAAATTAAATGAAATGAGATGAGATGATTTGGGGTGATATATAATCTCAGTAAAATGGTGGTCATTTACTAAGATTTTTTCAGTAGACTTTTTGGAGGATCCCGAGAAGTTACGTCCAACGGCTTTGTTTCATTTTCCCACATTTGTGCACTTTCACAGATATTAAACAGTTAATAAACCACCGCTATTACACATTTAAACCTGAAGAAACACTAAATAGACAAAATAAAACAAATCACACAACTTCACTCCTCCCGTTTCCGCCAAAAGTCCCCTAGATAGGTACACTATAGTCGGATTTTTTATTAGACGAAGTCAACTGACGTTTACTGTGTTGTCAGTTTTTGATGAAATAAAAATAGTGCTGTGACAAAGTGAACGATTGAAAAAACTCCTGAATTAATGAAATTGCCTCGATTGTCTAGTGAACAGTTGGTGTGCCGAATTGCCGATATCGGGTACGGGGTTCGAATTTTAGGCGTGCTTTGTACATACCAACGAGTTTTCGACGAAATATTATGTTCCTATAGTATCTACCTGTACTGAATACCGAGTGTTTTAATTAAGAAAAACACTGCGAGGAAGCTTGTAAGACTGTCATATTTCCAATACATCATATAGTTGAAATTATAGATGTATAAAATATAACAATTATAGGTAGGTAATGAAAATAAAAAAGCTGATTGTAGTTACATACTACTAGCAACATATATTGGAGCACTTTAATACAATTTTATTGTAAAATATAAATAATACTCTTTTATAGTTTGAAATTAATGATTAACTCTTCACACTCATTGTTCATTTGTGATTGAACGAGAACTGAACGCATCACTATTACTTTAAATATAGCAACATTATTTCACAAAGTGACATTAGCTACTGTCAGCTAGCTTCGTCTAATTAAAAATCCGACTATAGTAATATAGCTTAATTTTTTTTTTGGTACAATTTTTCCTCATTAAGAAAGGCAAGGGGATCTAAGCCCAAACAGCCGTTATAGCATAGATTATACACGATAGTATGTACCTACACTGTAATAAAAATAAAACAGCTCTCGCTTAATTGAGCTTTCTATTTTGTAGTTTTGACTTTATTAAATTTACTAATGGTTACTATACCAAATTGGTGCAAAATCATCATTTCGGTAAAACTATTTCCACAATACAATATCGGTATACCAACTTGTAACAAACCAACAAAATAACCATTATTGAAATCTGCGTCCTTATAGCGTTAAAAACAAAACAAAATGGAATGTTTATTGTTTATTTTATTATGTTTGTACTTGAATTCGATGTGCTTAAAATTACCAATATACAAATTTTAAATTTAGCTATCTTAGATGTGTACAATATAAACTTAAATTAATGGTACTACATACGTTTTATGTTGTACACATATTTTTATGTATTTACTTACTGTGAATGGAATGAAATAAGTACATTATTGTATTAAATCTCGCAACTTGTTTTGCCCCTTGTGAAAGGCCTTCTCCAAGTCACAGAGTCCTTTTTTATTTTACATTGGTGTCAAAAAGCTATCTATAAATACAGCCAATCAATGGAAAAAAGTAAAATAAGGAAGATAAGTTCTAATTACCTGCTAGACAGAGAACACACACAGAGAATTTCAATGTTTACTGTTTCTGTACAAATCTTGTCTTGCAATTGTACAGATTGATTCCCCTCAATGGTCATGTTTCCCCTCAAATGTTGAAGCTTATGTCTGAATTGTACATTCTTCACGTTCACAGATCATCTATTCATTTACAATTATTTTAACATATAAATACATATATCATTTTATTAATGGAATAAAGCAAAGAACATCCAAGAAAGCTTTAAATAAAATTGAAGATTCATACTCTTCATTTGCTGTACTATAGACACTAACATAGTTTTACATGATTTTCCAGGTAATAGTGAGTATCAGCTGGATCCACACTATATATTTGAGTTGGAAACTATCGAATATTGTGAAATAATGCCTCTCACAGCTGACGTTGCTGCACAACAAGTACAGGTGTGTGAAGGATCAAGTGTGAAGTGATCATTTACTTAATTTTATATCATCATTTATAGACGTACAGATTGTAAGGAAACTATTAACAATTGAGCATTACTATTTTCTTATAATTAATACCTATGTAACCAGCAATGGGCCTTATGAGAAGGCTCAAGGTCACCCAAAGAGCAATGGAGAGGGCTGTGCTCGGAGTTTCCCTGCAAGATCGAATCATAAATGAGGAGACTTGCCGGATAACCATGGTAACTAACATATCCCAAAGGATTGCGACATTGAAGTGGCAGTGGGCAGGGCACATTGCTCGTAAAATGGATGGCCATTGGAGCCAAAAAGAAGATGTTACCAGCCAATAGTATTCAATGTACCTTTAACAAAACCAACTAATATTATGTTGTTTTTGTACACAGGAAAGATTGAGGTCATTACACAGATTGATTTATGATATAGAAGCGGAGAGGTCTCGCAATGAACAGTGCATAGATGCCATACTTAGAGCTGAAAAATCTACAGGATCTCCTTCGAGTGCTGATGATTCATCAGGATCTTCCCAACAAGTGATTATAAGATTTTTAACATTCAAATTGTTCAATACATTCATATAACGCAAGAAAGTTCAGTCATGTAATCTAAAATTTATAAAAGTATCACCTATTTATTTATTTTATTTATTTATTTATTTATTTATACTTTATGCACAAAACAAAACTTGTACACAGGCGGACTTAATGCCATGGGCATTCTCTTCCAGTCGACCATAGGGTGGTGCAGAGATAATGCATGGTAGGTGCATTGACAAAAGAATAACAAACAACAACAATAAAACAAAAAAAAAGAACAAACTCAAAACAAAAATCTTCCTTAAAATAATATCTCAGTATTATAGAATATATTTAGCTTCAATAACTTGAATACTTTTGTTGTGTCCATCTTCTTAAATTGTTTTTCAATTATTCTCACTAGGTTACACTTTATTATACAAAGTCTGTATATCATCGAAATCAATTAATTAATTAATAATTAAATTTATTTAAAATATAATACTATAAAGTATGTAATTAAAATAGTAAATGTTCCAGTGGGTTTTTGGGAAAAGCTTAGTAGATCCTCATCGTAAAATTGCTCTGTAATATTGGCACAGACAGCTGACAGTCAATCCCATGTTCCATTTTTTAATTTTTTTTTATTGCTTAGATTGGTGGACGAGCTCACAGCCCACCTGGTGTTAAGTGGTTACACATAGACATCCACAACGTAAATGCGCCACCCACCTTGAGATATAAGTTCTAAGGTCTCAAGCAAGTTACGACTGCCCCACCCTTCAAACCGAAACGCATTACTATCACCAGTAATTACGCAAATTATAATTTTTGCGGGTTTGATTATTCCGATGTTATACCTTCACCGTGGAAATCTATCGTGAACATTTGTTGAGTACGTATTTCATTAGAAAAGTTGGTATCCGCCTGAGATTCGAACACCGGGTGCATCGCTCAACACGAATTCACCGGACGTCTTATCCCTTAGTCCACGACGACTTCATAGACATAAGCTAATCGACACCACCACCACCCCAACAAACAAGAACTACTATTACTCATAGTATCTAATTAAGAAATGTTGATTGTTTTTTCCCGCCAATGGTTATTAAAATATTTTTGTTTAACAGGTTTCGCAGCTTAAAAGTTTATATAAATCAGGTTTAACAGCTGCCGAGCAAGAAGAAAGACTACTTAGAGCTGCACTGTCAAGGATTTACGAGATACGTGCAATTAAGAATGAACGTCGAATTCAGGTATCATATTTATTGATGAATATAGGTTTGGTCCTGTAATATCTCACAGGCCTGTTCACATGCTATGACCAGCATAATATGCCAGTGGCAGGCAGCGACAGTCAACAAGTACATGGAAAAATGTTATACTTTCTTTTATTACGGCTTATGTTACCTATTTATGGTTTCTCATATTAGCTTAATACAAGGTGGGACATGCGTTCAACTGCCTAGATTAGTTTGTAAAGACAATCACATATGAGTATCTTCAATGTCTGAAGTTAATTGATGTAGACAATTACACGTTAATTATTTTTTGTAAAAGATCACTAAGTCAAATTATAACACACTAGCGACCCGCCCTCGCTTCGCTTCGGAAACTGTAATTTATTATTGATTTCTCCGCTATTTAATGGACGTTATTATACATATAAACCTTCCTCTTCAATAAAAAAACGCGTCAAAATCCGTTGCGTAGTTTTAAAGATTTACGCATACATAGGAATATAGGGACAGAAAGCGACTTTGTTTTATACTATGTAGTGAAGACATGAATATTATGTTCAGTTTCTCGGTTCTCTCTGTGTTTTATACCGAATGTTTCATGGGGAATGCTCGGAGTTATTCGAGATGATCCCCTCATCTCCTTTTTATCATCGCACCTCCCGCCATCGGATCAGATTTTATCTGGAACCGCTGCGTTCATCGACAGTGCGTTTCCAAAGATCTTTTTTGCCAAATACCCTCCGGCTTTGGAATGAACTCCCCTCCACAGTGTTTTCGGAGCGCTATGACATGTCCTTCTTCAAACGAGGCTTGCGGAGAGTACTTAATGGTAGGTAGCGGCTTGGCTCTGCCCCTGACGTCCATGAGCGACGGTGACCACTTACCATCAGGTGGGCCGTATGCTCGTCTGCCTACAAATGCAATAAAAAAAAGTGTGTGTGTGTGTGTGCAAGTCACACACGGTAGAAGCTAAACTTATAAATAAGATATAGATATACTGACTATCCCACTACACAGGAGCATACATATGGACAATGCTTATAGTGGGGATGCTACGTAGATTCGCACAAAGAGGAGAGCGAGAACGTCTAATGTGTTCTATCTCATTCTCTCGCCGGCTGAATTCTATACATTTATGTGTTTGTGTCTCTATGGACTTATTTCTCGTTTCATCGAGTTTGAAATCACGATTCTAAAGAAGTTCACTTCAATAACAAAAAAAAGTTTGGTTTTGAATCTGTAACGTAGAGTCGTGTCGTTGCGGCAGGCTCGTCACGCGGGTAACAAGGAGACGATCGGTTGCGGGGCGCTGATGAAGCTGCTCCTGAGTGCCGCGCAAACGCTGCCGCTGCACGTGGGGCGCGCGGGGGAGCGGGCGCCGCCGCTGTGCGGAGCGGTGCCGGCCGACGCGGGGCACGTCGCTCGACCCGGGGACGCCGTCGCCGCGCTCGTGCGGGTCTCCGATAACGAGGACAACTGGATATTGGCCGAGGTGCGTGTAAACAAACTGCCAATACACTGCAAACGTTTTGAGTGAACGTTATGGTTATGCACCTTAGGCTTGTTGGAAATATCGATATATCGATGTTTTTGAGCGATATTTAATACTTCGATATATCGATGTATTGATATAAAATTCCAAGTATCGAAGAGGTATAAAAATCGATATTTTTTTCAGACCAATAAACATAATTTTCATGTTGTTAGATGAAAAAATCCTAAAAAGGAATAATTTTTATTTTATTATCTTTTTAACAAATTATATTTTACGTATTTTTTGTTTTTGGTCGACTCGATTAGCTGTTTTAAAATTTGGTTTTTAGTTTCTTAAAATTAAGTTTTATAAAATATGTTAATAGTTGTTCTTGATTTATTATAAATTATGTCTATTGATGATGTCCCTAGTGGTAAACGTAGGTAGACGTTCCAACTGCATACAAATTTGAGTTAACTTTTACGCTATCGAGAACATTAAAAAACTCGCACTGAGCACATAGATGTATTTTTCGTAATTGATAATTTAAATTAATTTTTCTTCTTAAACAGGAACTGATCAGTATTGCTTTCGTACAGGTGGTGAGCTGGTTGCCCGCTCAGGGGAAATACGAAGTGGACGACATCGACGAAGAGCAGAAGAATCGTCACGTGCTGAGCAAGCGCCGCGTCGTGCCGCTGCCGCTGATGCGAGCCGACCCTCGGACCGACGAACACGCTCTCTTCCCTAAAGGTAGGTAGCGGCTTGGTTCTGCCCCTGGCATTGCTAAAGTCCATGGGCGACGGTAACCACTCATCATCAGGTGGGCCGTGCGCTCGTCGCCTACAAGGGCAATAAAAAAAATTAAAAAAAAGGTGACGAATATTTTTTTAAAGGGATTTTATGACCTGGTAACTAAGACCTTTAGGTCAAGTCTTATTTTAATTCATATTCATATTTATATGAAATGCAATGAAGATGATTAATTTGAGACATTAATCAACTGAGATGAAATTAAATGAAATGAGATGAGATGAGATGGGATCAAATATATTCTCAGGAAAATGGTGGTAATTTACTGAGACTTTTCAATGGACTATTTGTAGGATCTCGAGAAGTTACGTCCAGCGGCTTTGTTTTATTTTTCTAGATTTGTGCACTTTCACATATACTAAACAGTTATTAATAAACCACCGTTACTGCACATTTAAACCTGAAGAAACATTAGGTAGATAAAATAAAACAAATCACACAACTTCTACCTTCACGTTCCCGCCAAAAAGTCCACACAAATATGAAAATTATTAAAAGAAAACAAAAAAATGCTCGTCGGGGTGAACGACCTCACGGTGCACCTAGTATAAAAGCTGTTCCATTTTTAACGCAGTTGGCTCATCCTCGTGTGTATACCTTAGTTGACTTTTCGAACAGCCTCTGGAAGAGATAGGGTGGTGCTGTTCACACAGCTAATACGTTTTGCGAGAGCTTCGTTTTTTTTTTAAATCTTACAATGATTCGACTTTATTTTTTGTTTCTCGTTGACCTAGCGTTCAGCTCTCGCTCTAAGTCGAATTATATTTGGCATTCGAGATTCGAGATGTCGTGTTTCTTGTATGTGAGTCGTCTATTATCAAAGGTGGCAATCTGTGCATTTGGACAAAAAAATGTTATTGATATGTCAATACAGATTGATTTGAATTTAATCGTCTCCTTCAAAGAATACGGTTCAAAACCTGCATTAAATAAAGGTTAATACTTAACCTGTTATTTATCTAAGATATCGTTCAGAAAGAGTTTTGTGACTGCCAATGGAATACAAAGTCAATAATTCGTTTTTCTGATTTACCAATAATTGTCCAAAAATCACATTGCCGGCAAAGATAATAGTCGACTCATGTATCAGATTTATCGACGTATAAAAAACATCTAAGCTCGATACTGTTTAGTACTATTAGTGTGAGTTGACCTTTGAATAAATTTAAGTAGTTTACTATCATTATAAAAAGTAATCTGAGTATAATTCCTATCCAAATAAATTGTTATTTATTTGTGTAAATATAAAGAACTAGCTGTACCCGTCCGCTTCGCTGGGCATTTAAAATTAACGTTATTATTTCTCACCCCCACAAAGATTCTCATCATTAACGCCCCCGCAACTGGTGTACGGAGTCCTTCGATCAACAATAGTAACTAGATTTCGGGTCAGTGCATTAAATCCGTCTCGTCAAATAACAGCGCACTTGAAATGTGAGCTCTTATTTTGTTTAGTTCACTTCAAACACAGCCAATGTCAACCCGTCTCACAATACCGCAGTGTGTATTCAAAAGTTGCAAAAATAAGGCCCGAAAAAGCAATTTAACGGCCGGAATATCTTACTTTCGGTAAGTACATGAAGTATAAACTATATTGTAAGCTTTAAACTTATAAATAATATTAAATTTTGAACAAAATTACCGATTTTTAACCACCGCTACAAATGTTGGCCAAGGCTCGGCCAACACATGGACAAACTTTTGCTTAACAGAACAGTAAATGCATGGAGTAGATTTGTGTTGTAATAATTTTTTAAAATTTGTTAGCAGCACTTCAAAATTAGTTGGTTAAAATTGGTTAATGCTGCTTTTGTGTCTGTTTGTTGGACTCTCATTAGATACTTAGCTTTCCATTTTTATTTTAGCTTTCCTAGCAATCACGTGTGCAGAATGGATCTCGATTGTCGCCAGAGAAACAAGAGATGACTTTTATAAGCCAGCTAAGAACTCCGCTTATTGACACTGGACATCTTTGCCTTCCGTGCTCACGGCTACTGAAATGTGGCCGAAACATTGTAATAAAAATACCACGCTTGAAACCGTTTAAACGTTGTTTTATTATGTGCACTGGTCGCGAAAACTTAAAAATATATATTACACAAAAACGTAACGCTAATAAAATAATAAGTAATGTATAGATACTAACAAACATACATTTCCAAAACATAAAAAGTAAACAACTAAACTTTTACTTTAATTCATTAATAAATTATTTTAGTGTTAAGCGCGACTCCCTTACCTCCTGTAGTAAATAGAAATCGGCATTTCAAGAAGCAAAAATAAATAAAGCAAAACGATGTTAGTTCTCAGAGCAATTAAGGGAAAAGTTACTTTATTTGTTGCACCTTAAGATTGATTTAACATTAAAAGTTGTTTAAAATATGTCTTTTTATTGGTAAGTGACAGGAGTAATTTATTGCTTTGCTCGTTTTATGTGACGAATGATCGTAAGTATTAGATAATGTTTTGGAGATTTGTGACTTTATTACTAGGTGCCATAGTTGTTATTAGTTTGAACGTAAAAGTGTTTCAAAACTTTTTTCTCCGTTTGTTAGTAAACGAATGTAGCTATATAAGTATATATTCACGCGGACAGTTTTTGCTTTAATTTTGTACGTATCCCTTTATCTAGTTACTATTGTTGATCGAAGACGGAGTCCAACACTCATAAAAATATTAGCCTATCCATTAATTACATGTATTTTCTACATGGATACCAAGTTTCAAGTCGTCAAAACCACTGTAGATTTATATATTAGTATAGATAAAATGATTTCGAAGGTGCGGTAGTGATGGCGCTATACCCACAGACCACGTGCTTCTATCGCGCCGTAGTCAACCGGCTGCCCGCGAGCGCGGCTGACCCCTATGAAGTGTTGTTCGAGGTAAAAATTAATAATATTATTACAATTCTATATACTAACTAGCTGACCCGGTAAACGTTCTTTTGCCATATGAATTATTTCTATGAAAGATAAATAAACTAGATACCGACTGCAGCGCCATCTGCCTGGCTGATTTGTGAATCTAAACCATCCAGGGCGTCACCCAAACGCATACAAAAAAAATCATTCAAATCGGTCCAGCCGTTTAGGAGTTTAGTGACATACACACGTACAGTTTATATATTTCAAAATTATATATATGAACATGTACAACAATATTTTAAAAATAATGCAAAATTATTATAACTACATACTTTGTACCAGATTTTACTATAAAATATATTTTTAAACTATGGCAAGACTGCAAGACTGCCAAACTATATTCCTATAAGGCCTTATTTCCGATTACCACCAAAATAATTTAAAAAAAAAAAATTTGGTTCTCTCCTTTTACCTGCAGGATTCGTCGTACGCGGACGGCTACTCGCCCCCAGAGCGCGTGGCGCAGCGCTACGTCATCGCCATCAAGGAGGGCAAAGGCCGCGCCACCTGATGCCGCCCACACTGCCCGCCCGCCGCTGCGTCCGCCTCCGCCCCCGCTACCGCTACCTAGTCACCTCGGCCAACACCCACGCGTCATGCGTACTGTTGTTCTACATTACACAAGCTGAATCGAAGACAAATTTTCTTTCGCATTTTAAAATTATGATCATAATACATAGCGGTATTTTAAATTTAAAGGCTGATTTACACAAGAATTCTCGAATATTGTTTCAAGAAACATTAATCTCTACGAATTACATGAAGCGACAGGCTAAACCCGCCTTTCAATGCTTCCAAACGGTTGATACTTTATACTGTCTGTGACCAGTTGAAGGATGCTATAAGTACGCCGCTTGTGTGTAATTCAGCCTTTATAAAGTGTAGTTTTTCGTTAGATGTTGTCGAGTGTGTCAGAGAATTTGTTGGATGTCAATTTTGGGTTTAATGTGGTGATCGGTTAGTAATCGTTGTGGTGCGATGTGATGTGCGGATTTATTGGACCGGACCAGTGTGTATAGACGATGACAAAAATAATTTAGTGAAAGGTTTAGTACTTGTTCACAATAGACGCCAACGAGAGATAGTAAGAGAGACCTAAGTGTTGCATGTTTAATTTAAAAAAAAATTAATGGTACATAAATATTTAGATTGTAGACATATAGTCCTTAGATACGCCATATGGCAGATTTATAGAACAAAAACTTGCTGTATATAAATCATAAGATTTATTAAAATGAAATAAGTTATTGTGTTAACTGTAACATTAAGTTAATGCAGCTAATTTAAGAATAACGAAAAATGCACGAATTTAAGGATTACCTATTCTAATTTTATCCACTTAGGACACTAAGAACAGTTTGCGTCTGTTCGAAATGTCCATATGGATGAGATGTCCAGGGGCCTCCGTGACTTCGTAGTGTTAGTCCTACAGATTTCGATCTCACTGACGTTGTTGTATGTAGATAGTTTTTCACATAATTCATAAAATTACACTTACAAAATTAATATTACATTACAGACTTAAAACCAAACACGTTAGTTATTTAATCATAAATATTATTATATCCATTATTTAAAATAAAACAACGTTTACGAATTAAATCTTCGCATCCGTTACGCTTTTTTATGAATCATTAAAGTAAATTACTAGATTTAAAGTTGTTGACCCTTTCGCTACGACGGGCCTCGCTGCAGTGTTTCGTAGGATGAGTATACGGCGTACCTGATGAGTAATTGCCGTCGCCCACGGGAATCAGTAATGCCAGGGGCAGAGCTAAGCCGCTGCCTACCGTTTTAGAAAAGTTTTATAAAAAATTTTATCGGACAGCAGCTGCTAGAGAGAGACAAAAAATCGCCATAACTTACATCTTTATTTTTCTTTTTTTATTGCCTTTGTAGGCAGACGAGCGTACGGACCACCTGATGGTAAGTGATTACCGTCGCCCATGGACTTCAGCAATGCCAGGAGCAGAGCCAAGCCGCTGCCTACTGCTCAATACTCTCCACAAGCCTCGAAGAAGGACATGTCATAGCGTTCGGGAAACACCGTGGAGGGGAGCTCATTCCATAGCCGGATGGTATGTGGCAAAAAAGACCTCTGGAAACGTTATGTATCTAGTGTAAGTGTTTATTATGGTAATAATATGTTGATTACCTATTTTGAAAGAATTAGATTTAGTCACCCTGTAAACTGCAATGGTCAACACAGACAAATATTTTTATCAAAACTTAGTAGTAGCAGTAGTCTCTAGTAGTCATAATAAAATAAACATTTCAAGATTACATATCTTTTAATTCCTTAGGTTATGTAAAATCTACAGAATACATGATACAATGTTTATGTCCGAAATATACAATTAAATTTTGATTTGTTGTTAAAACGAATTGATTTTTATAAGTTCTTTGATCACTTACAAACTAAAGAGTAATATTAATGGAAGAAAATAAAATATACCTCGCTTTTTAAACAATAATAAAAAATGGTAAAGGAACTTCTTTGACATAAGTGTTTATATTTTCTTAGAATGTGTATGCTTTAATGTTTTGTGAGTAAAATAAAGTTAGTCATAATGAAAAATAAAAATGTCTACAAACGTAGGACATATAATGGCAACCATACTTATAAATAAATATTAAAAAAAACTAGTTTCATCACATGCCCACAAACATCAATTCATACTGACACAGCCTATGGAAATTCAACTTAAATCTTACGTAAGAAATGAGCAACTTTTCCACTATGGCATATCGATACTATACATTCAACATAAATAAGAAATGAGATCAAAATGCTATGTTTTGCCAGCCTGGAATCTCGAGTACAATGCCAATGTATTATATTGTTATACATATAAAGCCAGTATTGATTTATAATTAAACATCTGATTATTGTGACTTCTGTTAATACATACAAGTGATATATCGCCAAAAACAGATTTTCCATTGATAGTCATGGCTAGAGAGCTAAAAGCAAATATTTGGTACTAAATGAAAATGACTAAAAACATAAATTCATTATAGACTCGTATTTTTGCTGTATTTGGACGAACTCGAAAAACCTGTAAAAAATATAATTAATAAATCAACAATATCAATGAACATTTCTTCATTGTGCAGTTTACTTTAAAACGACACAACTATAAATAAACTAAGGTAATATCGACAAAGCTCTTTCATTTTGTCAGTAGAAGCGTGTAATAAGGGTATTACAATTAGTTACTATCTGGTTCTGTCACTCGTCAAGGATGAAGACCTTAAAAGTTTATTTTACAGCAAAACATTAGCTTAGAGACTGGCCACACTTCATTGTCAACAAGTGAACCTGATACGTGTCCAATCATTCGTTGATTTATACTTCATTTAATATAGTATCATGGATGATAGATAGCACTAGTTCTACCGTCCATATATGGTTTGAAAAATATTCGGACGTTTTTAAAAATCAAATATTGACATGACAGCTACTGTCTGTAAACAGTCACCCGTTCATTGTAAATCTACACGTCGTACCTCTAGACAGCCTGCCTGTCAGATAGTAGATGATGCAGCTTTCTGGCTACGGCGGGTGCGGCTCTGTTTCGCTTGTTCGGGTCGCTGTCCAACGCTCCTTCCAGCGCACGCTTCAGGCCTACGCCCGACCCCAGTCCTGTGTCGCACCAGACCAAACTGTTGATCGCCTGTAGGTCCTATTGATAATATTAATCAAAATTACTATTCTACTTAGGTCAGTTAATAGAATTGCATTTAAATTTAATTTTGCTAAGATTATCAGAAAATTAATGTTTCATTTAATTTGTGAAGTTCATTGGTGGTAGGACCTCTTGTGAGTCCGCACGGGTAGGTACCGCCACCCCGCCTATTTTATGCCGTGAAGCAGTAATGCGTTTCGGTTTGAAGGGTGGGGCAGCCGTTGTAACTATACTGAGACCTTAGAACTTATATCTCGAGGTGGGTGGCGCATTTACGTTGTAGATGTCTATGGGCTCCAGTAACCACTTAACAACAGGTGGGCTGTGAGCTCGTCCACCCATATAAGCAATAAAAAAAAAAAAAGTAGAATTGTAAAGTTTTACCTTGGCGGGGCTGCGGCTGAATCTGTAGGTGAGGTGGTGGTGTTGCGGCGGCGGGTCGGTGAGCGGCTTGACGTAGAGCTGATGTCGCTCTGACACGCGCGTGCCGGCCGGGGAGCGCGCCTCGCACCGCCCCGTCGGCAGCGGAGACAGGCTGCACTCCTGTACGCATACACACTATTGGCTCAGTCTTATTCTTAAATCTTATTCGACTTTATCATAAGTACTAGCGCCCAGCTCCGGCTCCGCTCGGGTCTTTAGCAAAAATTTCAACGATATTTGACTTTATTTTTTTTAAATAAAAGAACACTTATTGCGGCATAACTATTTGTTCCACAAAGTCGTAGTACATTATTTTATTCTATCATCAATAGTTTTCGCAGGGCACGCGATGTAAAGAATATTTTAGATGATTTTTTACACCTTGATTTATATTATTGGAGTTTTAGTAAGGATACAAATTTTTTTTTTTTTCAAAAAAAATTATAGCCTATATCACTCGGGAATAGTGTAGCTTCCAAACAGTGAAATAATGTTTCAAATCGGTTCAGTAGTTTCGGAGCCTATTCAATACAAAGAAACAAATCTTTCTTCTTCATAATATAATAAGTATAGAAGTATAGATGACAATTGGCTGTGTATCTGTAATTCCTTAAAAAAATTATTCATAGCGAAAATCCTTAATTACCAACATCTATAATTGATACTCACATCCCTGTGTCGTCCAGAAAATCTAAGTGCAAAATTCTGCATACATTGCACATAAACTTTATTATAAAAGTTAATCAAATCTCCTCTTTCTGGTGAACCTGAAAACATTTAATTAGTTACATAAATGGTGCACTATAGATGGGTCAATACATTATATTGTACATTGAATGCACTTACTCTCGTCTGTGCTTTGTTTGATTAAAACAGATCTATAAACATGATTATCCGCTAAAGGGCGTTGTCTGTAACATCGCATGATTTCTGCAAATGTTTTCTCCACTTGATTACTAGACGGATTATTTGAAACCTAAAATTCGAGAAAAAACATTTGTGTTACCATTTTAAATTATTATTAAATTTGACCATTGAATGAAAACAGGCTAAATAAAAAAATGTGTTCATACCTTACATATAACATAAACAGAGCACATAAGTATCTGATCTAGATGTCTGTCTTTCATTAGATGTGTTTGATGCATTATTGAGTACTCAAGACAAGTCCAAATTTTGCGTTTTAATTCGTCGTCAGTCAGTCGCAATCTCGTGCACAGATCGTTCATACGTACTACCGCTAAACTGTAAAACTGAAAAATATCGTAGGACTGATTATAATGTAATCTACAATTTAGTTTATAATTAATTTAGTATTATCAAATGCGTTCCGTTTAGCGAGTGTCTCCCGACCACCAAAGTAAGCGCCTTTGGTAAGTAAACATTGGTACATTGTAAGATCTGTGGCACTAGTTGTTCTCAACATATAACTTGTGTACACTGAAAGTGAATATATTTTTGTAGATAAAGATATGTACCTAACGCATTCGCATCAGTATCATATTTATGTATTGTATCGTTGTAATTCAATAAAGACTATTGAGTCCCACTTTTTGTTTTCAATTACTATTACTTTTGAAACATACCTTCCTAAAAAACAATATTAATGAATTGTTTTTTTTGGGTGTCGATGTAGGCGTGGTCTCACAACTTGAAGTACTTTGTGATGGTTGTGATGTATTAGCAGACACTGCTGGCTCTTTCACTGGTGTTGTGTTTGCTTGTACTGAAATGACAAGAATTACACCTTTTTATGTTTTTTTTACAGTAGAAGAGTGTAGGACCCAATGGCCTACGTCATGTAAAGCTGCCTACTCTCTGCAAATTTGCCTAGAATAAGTTGGTCGCTTTGAGCAATAAGGAAGCATGTTCATTGTTAAGTGTCATTTTCTTTTATCTTTTTGCTCAGTGATGTTCAATCAAAAGTTTTTCATAATATTTTCATAAATACCATAATGAGTTTCAATGCTAAATAAATAAAAAAAAAACAGAAATAAGTGATTGTCAGGACAAACAATGCTGGGTGCAAAAGGTCATGATAGATTGATAGAGGGCAGATTGGCGCTTGTATTGCTTTCGCAAAAGAACGAACGTCAGTTGCTTTAAATTGTGCACAGTGAAGCGTTTTAGCGAGGTTAACAAACGAATATTGATGTGCTGTATATCAACATTGTGTGTAATATTTGTAAACCCATAAAGGAGGAAAAAAGGAAATTAAATTAAAACTTGACTCTCAGCTTCTTCATTTACACTCAGTACAACTTGATACCTTATGAACTAATTTTAAATTGAAAAAATAGAAAGGCTTTTCAATATTACCTAAAAGTGACTGGCCGGGTTTAATAGGGTCTTTGAATAATTGCTTCTTGGCTTGTTCAGCCATAGGTGACATGAAGCGGTCTATTGTAGAGACAGGTGATTGTAGACCATCTGAAAAATTACAATATTTAATGCAGTGTTTATAATTTCTGTTTGAAAATTATGATGATGAAATAACATTTACAATTAACCATTTTAATGAAAAAAGTATACTCCTTATTTATATTATTCTTTAAATACTAGCCGTAGGCACTCGCCCGTTTCGCTGGGCATTTAAAATTAACATTATTATTTATTGTTATTATTATTAGGAATATTAGCATATCCATTAAGTACATGTATTTTCTACATGGATACCAAGTTTCAAGTCAATCGGATGCATGGTTCAGTAGTTATAACGGAACATCCGTAAAAACCACTGTAGATTTGTATATTAGTATAGATTAATGAAATAGATGCAATCCATGTTATGCACTTACTAGTTCTTCGAAAAGGTGAATCTTGTACGGAGACGTCGGCAGAGGCTGGCACTGGCGTTTTACTGAGTTGGTCCCACAGAGGACTGTCAGAAGTCCACACCAGAGACTCTAGTACTTCTTCTTCGACCTACATTTAATTTCAAGAAGATATTGAACGGTTAGTGATAGATTTATTCCTTGAATTTATTCATTTAAAAAAACACATTTTTTAGACTTGAAATTAATCAGTGTTACAACAAACTAACTATAGATTTGATGATGTTACATTGCAAGGATTTGGAATTTTTTACATTAAAGTATATGGCATTTCTAGGATTTGTTGTCTGAGTCAACTGTCAGACAACAAGTCCGTAAACAAATCTACCGCTATTTCAAGAGGCACGTTATTACTGGTGATTAGCTGTAAATTCCTTAAGTGTATGTTTGTCCAGAGTCACCCAGGCCGATATTTCGGGGCCATACCTCCCTACACTTATAGTAACAAATTAGTCTATCTATTACTCAGTACATGTCAACATGTGATTCTATGCAACCCTGTGATTCTTCATTATTCAGACAAGTTCCAGTTTGATGATCCAACTATTTGGCAAATAATAATTTACAACTACAACACTTACTGCATTCAAATGTTTGATGACGTCTCGACTAAGCTTATCGACCACGGCCTGTACAACTAGTTCAATAATCTTATAGAAATGAAATGCGCTCAGCTTGAATATCTGCAGCACTCTGGGAAACTTGAATGAATTCACTCCATAGGCATGTAGGACAATCTCCGTACAGCACGCATATACAGTTAGCTGGTATGTTTCTTGTGAAAGAAGCATCTGTAAGAAATATCGTTTTATAATGAACAAAGTGGAGAGGCAGAAATATTGCTATTGTAAAAGAAACCGAAATACTTAGCTTAACAGTGAAATTCTCTGCTTATATTAAGGTTGGATATTATTCTCAAGATAGCAAGCACAATTTTTAGGACAAAACTAAATTTAGAGCTATATATCTTACCTGCAATGAAACCTGTGGCTTTTTCCTATGTTCCTCTTTGATGATATGTTCAAACACCTTATAATATAAACATGTGACCATATTACAGCGTATAGAAATTGTCTCACTATGCGGGGTATTGTGTGCTTCCTTCAAGCTGGCCCCAAATTGTTCCATCCAACCATTGCAGGGTTTTATTAGTTTTGCATTTATCATTTCATCAGTTACGCCGCATTCCCTGTTGAAATAGGATTAATTTGAATAGTTTTTTTAGCGCAGAAACCTTTTTTAAATGCCTTCTTGATTAAATCTAACCATTCAATAAAATACTTACTGTTTGTCACAATTTATAGTAATTAAAACGAAACAATAAAAGTATAGACATATACATCAATATATATAGGCAGTCGTAGATAATAGATTAATTGAAAATAAATTGGTGAAGTAAGCATCCATTTAGTTATATCGTTATATATAGCAAGAAAATATGTAACTTAATTATGGGATATTTCTGAATTTGGTAGGTGAGTAGTATTTGTATTGTGATATTTGCATAAGTCCTACGGTGTTGTTACCTTTTGATATGAAAGTAATTGCACATATACTATAAGCCCTACTTTGAGAAAGATAAGCGATTATGACAGTTGAGTGGCTGAATCGCAGTACTCACGTGAAGAGCCTGAGCAGCGTGGGCGAGGGTTGGGGGCGCGCGTGTCGCAGCGTGGCGGCGAGGCGCGCCAGGCTGTTCTTGGCCTCCGACACGGGCGTCAGCTCCTCGCTGCGGCGCGACAGGTAGCGCCGCCCCGTCAGCGGCGTGTCCGGGCACGCACGACCGCTCTGTACACAAACATTACTTTTACTCAACGGTTCATTGTATTAATTAAGTAACACATTCGACTACATTGGATTTACTGGTGGTAGGACATTTATTTATTGAAGTTATACTTCTTTAGGCGCGTTATGAAAAACTGATGTGAGTGAAATTTTAAAATGCGCGCGCACCGTGACAAAAAATTAACAGAAATGAAGTTGCCCACTAAATCGCTCATTACAATACGACCGACGTAACTTGGCGAGTCTGAATATAGCCGCAGGTAAACTTTCGCGCATTTACACTCGTAAAAAAAAGTGTTATTAGCATTCATTTTTTAGTAATATAAATGACAAAATTATTATTTAATATAATTCATACTAAATATTATTAAATTATTAACGTTAAATATTTATTATTAATTATTTAATATTAAAAAAAAAAAGACAAATTTAATAAAAATAAAGTATAATTTCTTGCGCGCGTACATAATTTTATTTATTAATTTTTTATTTATTTATTTAGTCTACTTACAAATTAACAGTATAAACCAAAACATTTGTAAGGTACTAATAATTAGCTTATGTAATTTCTAACAACAACAATAAATCGCTGATTTTGTTATGCAATAACTGATAGTAATGCACCATAAGAGTCATTTTCCGTCTCAGCCCAAGAGTATCTAACCCGACCATACCAGTCACATAAAGTGATGAATACAAGAACGGATAGTATCCATAAATTTTCTTGAATATAGTTTTTCCAGCATTAGCTTTTGAACAGCTTCGCGAGGATCCCACACGAGTGCGTTATATTCAAGACTACTTTGCAAAGACATTGCGTGAATCCGCACCCCGCCTATTTCTGCCTTGAAGCAGTAATGCGTTTCGGTTTGAAGAGTGGGGCAACCGTTGTAACTATTCTGAGACCTAAGAACTCATCTCAAGGTGGGTAGCGGCATTTATGTTGTAGATGTCTATGGACTCCAGTAACCACTTAACACCAGGTGAGCTGTGAGCTCGTCCACCCATCTAAGCCATTCAAAAAAAACCTAGTAGCTGAAACACAGCATTGATCAGTATACAGAAACGAACGAGATTTGGTGGTATTGTTAATATTTTAAACCAAATCCTACCTCATTATTTGAATGTTAATAGTTATTACTACAGGTATATAGTGCTAACAACAAATTTATAAAGATTCAATTCAACATTGTGCATTCGATATTTAGATCACTTATTTAATCCAGCATTGCACAGTATAGTATAGTATAGCTGCGTATGTATATAGTATAGTATAGTATGTACTTCCAAATGTGAGAGTAGACTAAAATAATTGAATATTTAACTACTTAACTTTGAATCTAACAATGTAAATATATAAAAAATCATGAAGTGGATATTTAGATATCTGTATTTAACTTTCCCTATGCATTCCGTCAATGATACCCTAAATATATATCTCATTTATTGTTAGTTGGAGGCAGTAAAGTACTATGAAAAATTCCAAGTGTAAACATAATATAAACTTACAGGACCGAAATTAGCTATTACTTCTGAGATCTCATCACCGGACACTTTGTTCTTCATTCCAATTTGTTCATTTGCTTGTTCGCCTGCAAATAATATTCAAATTTAAATTTATAAATTAAACTTTATAAGGTTAGATTAAACAGTTAAGCATGCACAACTGAATTGCTTTTAATTTCCCATTGTTTACATTTAAATTACATCATTACAAATTAGTGCATTCTTACTGAAACACAACACATTCATAAAACCTACTACTAGTTTCATAATAACTAATATTTATAATCTTGAAGGTAAAATTGTTTCTATAAGAAACCATTAATGAAGTTTGTAATAAATATAGTCATATCTTTGATATTAATATACCATACCTTCATTAGTATTATCAATAAAATATGTTAGCATGGGATTTAAATTATATGTTGACATCTTAATTAAACAAAATTCTTTGAATTTGACAGTGTCACAATGTCAATTAAAAGGAGTAAACATTTTTCAGGTTTGTTGTTTGAAATGATCAGTCTACAATAAAAAGAATTGCTATAATACCAATACCATTACAAAAATAAAGGTGAAGCTCAAGTGTGCTTAAGGTAGTTGGTATATATGACTCGACTATTATCAAAACCGGCAATGTGACTTTTGGACAATTATTGGTAAATCAGAAAAACGAATTATTGACTTTGTATCCCATTGGCAGTCACAAAACTCTTCTGAACGACATCTTAGATAAATAACAGGTTAAGTATTAACCTTTATTTAATGCAGGTTTTGAACCGTATTCTTTGAAGGAGACGATTATATTCAAATCAATCTGTATTGACATATCAATAACATTTTTTTGTCCAAATGCANGCGCTTGCCTGGTGCACTTACTATATCCTTGTTACGTTGTGTGATTCAGTGACTGTTGTACGTACTGGTTAAAGTTGGACAAGTGTTAAAGTGAATTGTTAAGATAACATATTGTTGATTAAATCAGGAATCAAAAAGTGACATCGTTTTACTTGGTGTTCAACAAGATAATGTCTACCCTCAAGCTTACATATACATCGCAACATAGCCACTGTATCTTTTTCAGATTTTTTCTGAACAACAACGGTTGTTTGAACGAGATCGCTCTTAGTGGTAATACCGCCTGTTGCTATACGCTATAGGGCTCTACAGCACCAGTGGACTATTAATACTATAACTAATTAGTATTAGTATACATGCTGAACTGATTGCTTAGTGCGAGCTTTCTAACTTCTCGATCGCGTTAAAGTTAACTCAAAATTGTATGGAATTGGAACAACGCCCCTAGCGGAAAACGAAGGGAAGCTATTCCAACTTCATACAAATTTGAATTAACTTTTTAGCGATCAAAAAGTTAAAAAAGTCGCACTAAGCACACAGATTCTTGCAGGGCAGAGTTAAAATTGTGGCGTTTTTGAACCACTAGCGTTTATTTAGGCTAATAAAAAAAACAGCAATGAATTATAAATATTATTTTGCAATCGTAGCACGTGTCTAGACCACGTTCGAAGCGAATCCAGTTTCCAATCATAAACATCGCTGTGCGGTTAAAATGCTATAAACTACTTAACAATAGAAGTAATACTTCGGCCTTGTAATAAGCGATATGATTAAAAATGTGATTCAGGTTGATTTAAAAATGTGTTTACTAAAATATTCATTATAGAAGGTACGGTTGTACTACGGCGTCATTTGGTCGAATAAAAAATGAAATCAAGAAAAGTGACCGACAAATAAATAAATAAAGATAGCTAAATGTTGAAAAAAAGGAAACGAAATTCACTAAAATCTATTAATGTTAGTATTTTGTTGTTGAATGAAATTAAACGAACCATAAGCCGTCAGAAAAATTAGCAGAAAATCTAAAAGTCCGCATTTAACATCGCGGTTAGCTAAAAATATCACTTTTTTCTTTCCTACCTAGTCTAGTAGCCTCGAGGGGTTATTCGACATTCACCCAACTAGTAGGTGAGCTCACGGGACTCAAACCTGACGACGTTGCTAACACTAACCCTAGCAAGAACAACGCTTCTCAGAATCTACCACCGGATCGGAAACGCGACCCATGGAGAAGATCCGGCGAGAAATTCAGTGGGCTTTGTCTGTGGGTTAATTTACTCGCCCAGCACTTCGTCGCAAGCGACGGGTTCGACGAGAACGATGACCGGAAAGAGCACTAAACTATTAAAAATTTGAATTTTCCTTATTTATGCAATGGAGAGAAACAGAAGTTAAAAATATAGAAGGAAGGATAGTATAAGTTTTTAATGAGTTTGTTGTTTATATTTCTTATACCTAGTCTTGCCATAAATACTGAGACAAAGGAAAAAAAAAATTCTATTGCAAATAACATTCATTACTTTTATGTTTGTTACGTGTGTTAGTTTAATACATAAATATAAAATAATTTAAAGTATAAAACGCTTATTCGAAGTGGTCTCCATTGGCTGCAATAGAGTCCTTTAAACGTTGAGGTCAGTTATCAATAGAAGCACGCACTCTTTCCATGGGAACATTTGTCACTGCCAATCGTACGGATTGTTTTAGGGACTCCAAATTTTGATGGCGTTTAGAGCAAGCCGTACTCTCTAAAACTGACCATAAATCATAATCCAGCGTTTTAAGATCGGGACTAGACGGCCAGTCTTCAGCTCTGATGAAGTCCGAAACGTTCGTTTCCAACCAAGACTGCGTAGACCGAGCTTTATGACCTGGCGCCGAGTCTTGCTGGAAGGACCATTCTTGATTATTGAACATGGTGTTGTTAAGGGGCTTCACTACCTTCTCAAGAATGGTATCTTGATACACTTGTGCTGATTTTTTGATACCTTTTTCACAAAATTATGGCTCGGTCACTCTTTCATAGCTAATACCCCACCAAACCATCACTGAAGTCGGATAGTGCCCACGTTGCACTCTGTCGACTAATTGGGAAGCTTCCTTAGAGCTTTGAGCATAAATATGGTCATTTTGTTTGTTAAAATGTTGCTCAATTGTAAAAAAATTCTCATCCGTAAACAAAAATTTTCTATGACCTCCCTTTGCGTACCGCTTCAGTAGTTGTTTCGATTTTACCACCCTATTCTCTTTTAAATAATAGTAAGAAATATTTTTTCTTAAATGAACAAAATTTATTATAAAAAAAAGAACACAATATTCCTAACCTAAAAGTACATGTTATTATCCGCAACATGCTTCGTCAGATTACAGAAATAAAGTTATCAGCAACATGCTTCGTCAAAAAGTACAATTACTTACTTTCAGCTGCAAGCGTCGTCATAAGTAACAATCTTTTAAATTATCAGTTAAGAAATGACCAGTACGAAAATCTTTTGCTTTCGGACAGGATTTCTTCGAATTCTTTCCCTTACTGCTTTGACCACCTTTTTTGTACGAACCCTACGTGGACGGCCAGATCTTATTCTGTCACAAAAAGAGGAGGTCTCATTGTACCTATTAATAGCCCGGTACACAAACATTTTACTAATACCAAGCGTATGGAAAGTTTTAAAAATTGCATTTGGCTCCATACCTACTTTGTGTAATGCAATCACAGCGATTCGGTTCTCTTTATCACCCCACTCCATTTTAATGTCGCAAAATATTGTACAATGTATTGGCGCCAAAATGAGAAAACTCAATGAGCAATCATATAAAAATGACAGATTTTAAATTCAAATGTAATATTTTGTTTATTTTTAATTTTTTTAATAATTAAATAAATTAATTAATATTTAATTAATAATTAAATAAATTTAATTAATAACAGTATTTATGGCCAGACTAAGTATAAATAATCAACAGCAAACAATATTAAAATGAAATCTTACTTCTCAACAGAACGGAGAGAAACAAACTGGAAGAAAAGTTAAAAATATAGAAAGAAGGATAGAATAAGTTTTTAATAAGTTTGTTGTCTATATTTTTCATATAAATAATCAAAAGCAAACAATATTAAAAGGAAATCGTATCTGTCAGCAGAATTATTATGGACACAATACCCAAGCATAACTTTTAATTATAAAGATAATTAAGTCGGAATTGGTCTGAAGGTATTGTAAAACCGGCTATACTACAATAGTTAGGAATGTCACAAATCAGAAATAAAAGATGTCTTCAGGAACCTAGAATGATAAGAGTATTTAAAATTGTATGTTGAATTTAGATGTCAAAATGGCTTAAAATCAGATAATAGAGACAATTTTATTAATGTACCTACTGAATAAAAATGTTCTTGTTAGGGGGAAATGTATCTGATAATATAAGCTCTTCCTGGGACTGAAAACTGAGACTGTGTACCATCCGGCTATGGAATGAGCTCCCGTCCACGGTGTTTCCCGAGCGCTATGACATGTCCTTCTTCAAGAGTAGGCTCGAGGCTTGTGTAGAGTATTAAGCGGTAGGCAGCGGCTTGGCTCTGCTCCTGGCATTGATGAAGTCCATGGGCGACGGTAAGCACTTACCATCTGGTGGGCCGTCCGCTCGTCTGCCTACAAAGGCAATAAAAAAAAAACTTTATTGTCTTCCGTTTCTTTAATTTAGGGCACCGATTTTGTATTAATTTGATATTACGATCATCACGTGGGGCAATATAGCCACTGCACTGGTAGGGCTTAACCTGAGTAGACCTTAAGTAGTCTGGTCTCGTCCATTCGCACCACATACCCTGCCCATAGCAAGCTCTCTATGGTCTTAATAACTTTTGACTCATCATTATTTTAGATATTAAACATACCAAGAGCATAGGTGTAAAAAAAATCTACATAAAAATACAACACACCCGTTGTGGCCAATTATATTAACTGTGCAAATATTAGTAAAAATATAGTTTGTGTATGTAGTGTATTCCTCAAAGGTAAAATGTGTCTTTAATTTAAATAAATTCAGTATCGGCGTGACGTCAATGTGTTGAAAATATAAACATTATTTAATTTAGTTTGGTAGCTAAACGAAATGGCGTATACGCCATCACCATCCTTCTTGAAGAGCAGTGCCTCCGTCCTAAGAACTGTCATTCGTTTTCGTTTGCTAACGTCAAGAGAAGATTTCTAAATTGTTCTAAGACAACAAACGTGATTGATGTACTCAATATTTCCCTTAG